TTGCGTCAAAGTACTATGGTTCTTATTCTGATAAATGATAAATCCTGATTCAAAATAATTAGACTAAATCGATATTTATTTTCAATTAATCTAGATAATTTTAGACTATTTGGTGCTTTTCATGCACTTCTTAAATATTAAATTGATTTTCACAATTTTAATTTTTATACTCCTTTTGTTTCATATTAGTATTTGTAAAAATATTATGTTATTTGATTGGAAAATTCAAACATGCTTTTTTTTAATTTTATTAGCATGGAAATTCCGGTGGAAAAATAAATAACAATAATAGTAGAAAATAAAATTTCATAAGATTAATATTTTGCTAAAACCAATTTTTCGTGGGGAGATTTTTGTATCAGAATAACAAATAGAGATCAAATAAATTCCAAACTGTTAGTCGCAATAACAAGAAAACCTAATTCGAGTAACTCGCGCAAAAAAACATGAAAATTGAGTTGCAGTTTCCGTCAGTTTGATCAAAAAACTTGAGCTTTTGGTCGTTGGAGGCGCTGCGATTGCTGATTTTGCCTCTTTTACCCCACGGCGATGTGCAGTAAACTTGAAATTCAGCGATCACAACGCCACCATCAACCAAAAGCTGAAGTTTTTTCAACAAACTGACAGAACTTAATTATTTTTATTGCTTGAATTAGGTTTTCTTGTGATTGCGACTCAACGGTTTAGAAATTTACCGATTGTTCTAAATATAGAGCAATAAAAATCACAGGAGTGGGTCTTATTAAAGTTGATATTGCTACAAGCATGAAGATTCATTTTACAATCACAAAGTTTCCACTTCTCTAGAGACAAAGTTCCTGTTGAGCTCACATCATGAAATTCCCATTGTTTTTCCTTTTATCAGAATAATTGAATTTTTTTATTTTTAATACACATTTGAACCGAAAAGCAACCATGAATGTATTCCTAGCGATGTGAATTATTGTTTCATTATTTTGGTCTGGCTATTTTCGGAACGAAATTGCTCGGTGTAATTTTTCCACTTGCAGACACGAATTTTAAAACGAGCCCATGCAATATGGTGTGGGCACGCGAGAGTAAAAAGAAAACGAGAGAGCGAGCACATTGTATTCCACACATTATTTTCGGCTGGGCATTTGCATGAAAAGGGGGTGTCTTCGTACCCCAGTTTGATTTGCGGCTTTTCATCCCTGCACAAAGAGAACTGGTACATATGAGGGTGAGTTTCTCTGCGGTGAACCGAGGTGGGGGTGCCAATTTTAAAATGCACCGCGCGCACCGTGCGAACCATTTCCTCCAATTTCGCCACCACCGTCGACGACGACATGAAAGCTTTTTAATAGAGTTAAAATACGGTTTATTTTAGCTCGGAGCCGCCGATGTGGAGCTCGGAAGTGCATGTGGCCAAGTTTCGCGCGCGCGCTCATACATGTTTATTCAATTAACCAACGTCAAGTTCGGGATTGTGCAAAAGTTTCTTCTGGGAGAGACTCTTGTACTTCTCGGGTGATGTTTATTAATACAACAAAGTCTTGGAATTATTGCTTCAGTTGTACGGTTTTATTACGTGTTGGTGCTCTTTGATAAAACTTTCAATATAAATTAACTCTTTATCTTTATCTTGAATAAAATACAATCTAAATTAAAATAAAAAGGTTTTATTTTAAGAGAATTGCAAATTTTCATTGACTCTCGTTGGATTGTGAATAAATAAAAAATTGTAAATTATTAGATAATGCTTTTCTGTTAATTATGAATTTTCAATTAACAGAGGGTGATAAAATATGTATAATAATATTGCTGAGCCGAAACTTTGTTGCATATATTTGATTATTTAATTAAAATGATTAATTAAAGAGAAAATATTAAAATTTGTATATAAATCAATTTGTTTGAGCGGAATTAATAAATTTATTTATAAATTTAAATTCAATTGATTCCGCTAACTTTTCTTCCAAAAACGTCAATCTTCCATAAAATGCTTTTCCGTAACTTTTGATCGAATGATCATAAAATTGTACGCATTTAGTCAAGTAAAAGTAAGCAGCCGTTTTATGATGTATTGAAAGATTTATCGCAACTTGAATTTGCTCTTTAAACAAACGTTATTTTTATAGAAAAACTTGTCGTGAAAGTAATAAAAAATCTGTCCCCAAGCTCACAGTCGGGATCTTTCCTCTTATCTTTTTTTTTTTTTTTGCTGTACGCACAGAGCGAAAAAACGCGCAGGATCCAATTTTGTTAATTCAAGCTTCATCCGTACGAACCCTCAAACGGGTCGGCCCCGAGAATTCATGAATACCAGATTGGAAAATTGGAAGCGGCGGGCCTGGTGTGAAAAGACCCGGCGAGAGGAAAAGCCAAACCCCGCGTGTACGTTGACAGCATTTTCATGTACAAACTTTTTGTACACCATTTACGCAAATTAAGCCACCGCACTCTCACGACACGTGAAAATTTCCAAACCAGGAATTATTTCCCGCGAGTAAAAACAGGCAAATTCACTTTTACACCAAAGAAATTAGCATGATGAAATAATTAAAAAATGAAATAAATCTTGTCTTGAGGAGGAAAGGTTTTTAGACGAGAATTTATGGACAGCAATTTAAATTTGTAAAAATTTAGAAATAGAAGTATAAAATAAAATTTATTTACTTATCTTTACTCGTGTTTAAAAATTTAAAGCAAAAAACTACAGTTTTTCTCGAGATTATCAAGAAACAATTGTAAAATATTTATTTTACTAATCAAAAAATAAATTTATTGATAAATTTGATCCAAAAATATGTTGAAAAGACAGTTTATAAATCACGATCATCTTCAAATCCGATTTCCCGGACGAGGTCTTATCAGTTTTGCTTGCAAGATAACAAAGTTTTCATCTCGCAAGCTCGTCCGGCGGCGCATCAAGAATAATGGATGCGTTGCACCCGGAAACAAAATGATCTGATACGGACGGGGCGCACCAACTTGCCGCCGCCCCTGCGCGTGCATTTGCGAACGTTTAATGATGTGCGGCGCAGCTTTAAAGTGGATTATTAGTGTTGAAGGGGATGCTCTGGCTGATGTTGCGTCGTTACATCATTGTTCAGCGCTCTTGTCATGCACAATGTATAATGATGCAGGTGATTTGAGCGCTGTGTTGGTTTACTTTGACTGCATCGCCATGCAAATGCTCATAAATGTAAATTGTCAGTGATTGAGCTTCATTCAAACAAGTTCAACTAGAAATAACTTATTATGAGACAATTTTTAAAATTTATTGCTTTATTTTCTTCTAAAATTTATGACGTCATTGATTTTAAAATTGGAAGACGAATTGAAAATCTAGCAACCAATGTTGTGAAGACGTAAGACTTCATTTTACTATGCCAATTATCAATAACTTTAAATAATCCATTGTTATTTACAAAAAAGTAAAAAAAAAATACCAATTTTTCTTAAAATGAGGCATTTCAAAACTCAATTTAGTCTATGGAAATTTACAATTAAATTTATTTTTATTAAATGAATCTAATCAATTGTTTGATATTTATAAATTTTAATAACAAAATAAATTTCATATTCCCAAATTTTAATTTTACAACAACAACTTTTGATTATTTTTAGAGGCGAAAATACTCATCTTAATATCCCTCTTAAAGTGGAGAAGCTTTTTAAGCGCGGCCAAACTTTTGGCACTATTTTCTCCATTTATTTTCCAATCACCACTCTAGAGAAAAATATATATGTATTTTATTACAAAGGAAGCATTTTGGTAGGGATGCAATAAAGAGGCGCGAAGAGGGCTTTGTGTGTGTCTCTCTCTTCTCGGGGCTCCATTATAAAACGGAATTCAAACAGAAGTAATGCGGCCGCCGCATTGTGCGCGCGATATTTCTGAAGAAACGTCTCTTGGCTTGGCCGGGTTTTCTAAAAATCCGACCGGCATTTTTTGTTCATCGGTCGGTCGGACGGAAGGTCGACTGTGACCTCTTTCGCTCGGCAAAAGCCCCGCTCAAATCCCCCTGACTATTATAATGCCGCTAGGCGCATTAGGCCCTTCCTATGGCCTCTTTCCGCCACCAGGCACGCACCCCCAAATCAAAAAACCACCCCGCACATATGCAAATATTGCCTTTCTAGGTTAATTCTGCGGCAAAACTGCGTGCGAAAGATTTGACTTTTCGCGCACACCGAATTGGGTCAATTTTCGCCAACACTCTTAAAGTGCCAAGAGCGTTTTCACATAAAAGCAAAGCTTCTTGCCAACTTTTGTCAACTGTGCTGCAATTTAGTTCCCCGAGCAGCCTCCAACTACCAAATATATGTCCTAGAAACTTTCATTTTCTCATAGTATGATCCTAATAATTAAAGAAATTTTGTGAAGCGTATAAATTTAAATGATATACAAAGAAAATGCTCAGATTAGGGATAATTTTGATGAATGTAAAATTTATTCTATACGTATTTTGAAGAATAAAATCTCTCAGTTCTTTCAGAGGGGCTTGCTTGATCTTTCTTGGCCCATATAAAATATCACATTTGTAGGTTAGAATAGAATTACCAACTAATTTATGAAGAAAGAAAAATAAGTTTTGATATGTTTTATAGTAAATAATTTGTATAATAAATGAAATTATTTGTTTACGTTATTTAAACGTACTGATTTTGAGAACAGATTTAATAAAATTGAGATAAATTAATAAACTTCTAAATATGAAGCAAAGTTTGAGTTTCCAAAAAAAGCATAAAATTGGTAATCAAATGAAAAGTTAGATATTATTTATAAATAAATAAAAATAATATAATAGCGAACATTTATGGAAACAGTCAAATCAAGTTTTAGCAAAAATGGTGGTTAAAAATTTTCAACTGTCTTTCAATAGTTGCAAAAATTGTTTTCTATTGTTGTAAAGACCTATTTTGAGATTTTGTCAATACGGATTCCTTAAAACTGATATTATAATTTAACTGTAGTTTGTATTTGTAGTAAAAAAATCATAGAATGAAATCATTAATTGCTGTTTTGGTTTCAGGAGCCATTTTTACGGAGGACCAGAAGGACAGCAGCACCGAGCTGGCTTTCAAGTACGCCGTCTACAGAATCAACAAGGACAAGAGCATTTTGCCCAACACCACCCTCGTCTACGACATTCAATATGTGCCCAAGGACGACAGCTTCAGAACCTCGAAGAAAGGTAAGATTTTCGCGGAAAATAGTTGCGATCGCGTGACTCGATTCGACACACACATGTCCGAACACACTTTTCCTCCGAAGCCCTTAAGTGGCGGAAAACCGTGCGCGTCCCAATTTGCAGAGAACGCGATACAAAAGGTTCAATCGTTCATTTTCACCGTCGACTGGCCGAGCGAAAGGGCTAATTTCCTGTTTGTTCTCCGCTCGGCCCAAAAGAGAGGAAGAAAGAGAAAAATAAAAGGCGGGTATTGAAATAACGGGGCGCTTGTAATAATAATGGGCCGAGTGATGAGCCCGTTTCGCAGCATCTGTTTAGTCGGAGGAGCAGTTAAAAGCACTTGCTCGCCACTTTCTCTTTCCCTTTTCACTCTTTCATTCCCCCTTTTTATTGGCCGAGATGAATTAAATTTGGAGTCGCTTTTATTTCCGCCGCGGCTACTTTTGAAAGAGGCTTTTTCTTCCTCTCTCCGCTCCGTCTCTGCAAACGGCCGATTTCGCACTCGCTTTTGTCAAGAATTTCGCGCTGCCAGCGCCCAATGCTGGATTGTTCCGTCTCTGCTTCGAGTTTAAGTGGTTCTTGCCAAGTGGCTGTGAAAAATTCGCCCAGAGATGGTGTCGATGGCCTAGCAAGCCGGCCCAAGTACTCCTCATAAAAATTCTCAAATGAAAAAAATTGAGGCAATAATATGCTAATCTCCTCGGCCGAGTGGGAGCAAAAACCAGAAACAACTGCATTAATTTAAACAATTTGCTCACGATTTAACATTCATATAAAATTATGAAAAATTTAACAAGAAAAATATGATAAGCTTCAAAATTTGCACCAGTCTTTTATTTTTCCAGAAATTTTTTTAAAAATAAAATCCATTTTGCTAGTTGTGACATGAAAAATTAAGCAGAAAGTTAAATCAAGGCTTTCTAATTGAAAGCAAGTTTTTCAACAATTAAGTTTAAAATTAATTCCAGTTGTTTTACCATTATTGCCAAAAGTGGCTTCTATTGTTGAAAGGGCTTAATTTTGAGGAACCTTTAAATGTAACCGTTAAATACACAAATATTTTCTTGGTTTGTTTTCCAAAAATTTAATAAAGAGGAAACAAAAGTGGATTTAAATCAAAGCAGCTGTGTTCAACCAAAATTTATTATAAATTTATCAAAATTTAAACAAGACGATATAAAATTAATTTTTGGTATTATTCAAACTTTTTTGTTTATGCAGATTTTTGTTTAAATACATTAATAATAATTTAAAATCCTGCAGTTCCTGAAACATTTGAGGGAGAAGGTGCAGGTGATGCGAGCTGGAAACGAAATTCGGGCGCAAAGTGTCGCCTCGTCTGTAATTAAGTTGGCAGCGATTTTGGGGCCAGCCCGGCGTCGTCTCTGCTCTTTTATCTCGGCTGCTGAAGTAACAATTTGGGCCGTGAAATTCACGCGAAACATGCAGACCGCCGCCCTTGCCGTGGAAAATGCCATTATCGACTAATTAGGCGAGGGTTATCATCGTCATTACTATCATTACTAGCACGCGTGCTGCAGAGAATGTGTCGACAAGAGAGAGATGCAATTTCGCTCTCGCGTAGCCGAAAGCAATACGAGCTCTTCTAAATTGATTTAGGCGAGTTTAAAGTGAGCCTACGTGTGTGTCAGCCAACTAAGCAAATGTGTGCACAAAGGAGCAGAGAATTTCGTGCTTGCTCAAAGCAGTCCTCGGCTTGATTGAAGCTTCAAATTGTAGAATATTTTAAAATTGTAACCAAAATGATAATCTTATTTTACTTTTACAAAGGAAAGCGACTGATTTTTAATTTAATTATGGTCAAAACTCAAGAAATTCATTCAGGATAATGGTTTTATATATCATTAAATGACTAAAAAAAAAATCAATTAACAACTGCATTTTTTCAATTAATCAAGAAAAATGGCAAACACAGTCTTAATTCAAAATTAATCTTTGTCGTAAAAATTATTTTTTGCAAAAATTAGTGGCAACTTCTATACCCATTTTAACAGAATTTATTAAAAAATTTCTATCAGGCGAGAGTGGTTCTTTGTTTATATTGAAATTCTTTGCAGATTCCTCACGCCTCTCTTTTGTTTTCGTTAAAATTCATCCGTGCATTATTTCAGAAACAATACGATTCTCTGATCTGATGCTGCCTTTTTATCGCATTTTTGCAAGTCAGCAGCTCGAGTCTGCCGACAGCTTAGACTAGCGAAGGCAAATTTGATTCAGTTCTTTCTTTTCCCAAGAAAGAGAGAAAGAAAATTGTGTCAAGAGCTGGAAAGCGCGATTTTCCGATTTTCCAGCCGTTGCGAGGAAAGAACTCGCGGAAACAATTTTCCCTCGCCGGGAGAAAAAAAAGAAATTCTTTATATTCAGCGTTGGGAAAAAGCTCTTGAAAAAAGCAGCAATCACGGCCGCGCGAAGCCGAATTTTCGCCTCGAGAGTGAATGAGCGATTAGAGTCGGTCGAAGAAGAAGAAGCAGTTTCTATTTTTTTTTCGCCCTTCTCGGCACCCTCTCGAGGTGCGGTGCCTTTCTTTATTAGCAAATAGGGATGCGACTCTTTCAACAGTTTTTGGCCTGCTGATTAAGTTAACGCCGCACCGACGACGTGTGGAAATTGGATCAGCGAAGCAAAAAGTGTAAAAAGAGCAGAGCAGACATGCCACACGAGCAGCCAATTGGAAAATTCGCCAACAGATCAAACTTTTCATTTGCCCGACGGAACAAAAAGTCGCGCGACGTCTCGTCGATTTATCAAACTTTTTCACCCGAGTGCCGGCCAGAAAATTAACAGAGAAACGGAATTGGAGCATCATCATTGTCCACTTTTTATTCGCTGCAATTTTTCCGGTCAAATGGCCTCAATTTCATTCAAGGAATGTAAAATTTAAGAGAAAATATTCACAATAGTGAGAAAAATAATCATATTTTTTTTTGATACGCTTTAAAATGAATTCTGAAAATTGTTATATGCGAATTCTGATTTATAATATGTCAGACTAAAACAACTTTTTTTTAACTACATCACAAGAGTGTTTACTATCTTGAGACTTTTATATAAATTTTTTTTATTTATTATTTGGAAATTCTTACAAACATAATGATTTTTTAACAAAAAATGAACTTTCAATACAAACTTTGAAAATCAGTTCAATCAGTGTCTATAAAAATAATTAAAATAACTCCCTTTTCTTTAACTTACTTTTTAAAATTTTTAAATTTGTTAAAAAAATTCACTCCTTAAAAAAACTTAATTTTACATAATTGAATCACTTCTTTCAGATTTGAGGATTTGAGCTTTATAAAGAATTGCACAAATCTTTATCTTTTCTGGGAATTAATAATCACATTTATTTTTCCTACAAATTTTCAAATATGTGAAATTAACCTTTCTCTTTTAAAAAGATTGTTCTTCAAGTTCAACCCGCTGCGATTGTTTTGCAAATTAAATCAGTCTTGGCTTGCGTCGTCATCATCTTCATATCTGCGCCAGAGGTTGTCAGCTGAAAGCCGAAATAAAAAGTGGAAGCCAAGAGAGTGGCTCGCCTCGATTGCAGCAGGAAAATTCATCACTGTCCTGTCAGTCTCGGGCTCGGGCAAATATTTGTACAATTCATTTTGCGAGCTGAGAGCTGTTTAGAGAGAGCGGAGGCTCGTTTTACGGCTGCATCTCTCAAGTGATTTCACGACACGCAGCGAAATTTGACACTGATTTAGCCTTTGGCGCGACCCTCCGGACCCAAGAGACCCTGACGATGGTCAGAAAAAAAAACAAATTGCCTCTTTTCCAAATGCACTCGAGCGCTTTTATATTGTAATGCGACGCCACCCGGCCTAGCTGCGGTTCCAACCACTAGAGTTTTATATTTTTGTTGAAAAAGATTTACTTTTTGAGTTGGAAGAAGTGATGTCTAAATTAAATTTTGGTTTCAAATATTAATTTTATTTATGAACGTAGAATCTTTATAAAATTATCTGATAAGTTTTATTTTATTTATTTATTAATTTTATTTTTAATACATTTTAATAACTTTGTAATTTGTTTATTAATTCAGTGTTTCAACAATTTATTAATTTTTAACTTCTGAATTTGACTATTTTGAATTATTATTTAGAATTTGTTATTAGCTTTTGTTAGATTTAAAAATCAATGCAAATATCTGTGCTCAAGTATTCAATCTGCAAGTCTGCATTCTAACGATCAGTCGTAAATTGAGCAGTAAAAGTTCTTCCTTGTACCAGCGATCGGACGTTAAATGCTGCAAGCTTTTTTTCCGAGGATTTTCCTCAATGGTATCAGCGCCTTTTTATATGCTTTAATAAAGAGCTGCATCTGCTGCTCAAAATGTTCCGCTGCAGTATCGAAGCGAATTCCATTTTGCAGAAATATTTTCCATACAGCGAACCGATTTGCCGCATTAAATGGCTGCGCCACTGCAAGTTTCAAACTCAAACGAACAAATGAATATTTAGCTGCTGCGATATTAAAAGTCTGATCGTGAGCCTGGGAAAATGTACAGTAGTTTTCTGATGTGAAAAATTTAATAGACAAGCTACGGAAAAAAAGGGCAAAACTTTACAAATCCATCAGTCATTATGGATTTATCGTCGCTTTTATTGCTAAATATTACAAAATATCATCTAATTTTATATATTTTAATAAAAAGACTAATTTTATTTTAAAAATGTCTACAAAATCTTTAAAATTTGACAAATTTACTCAAATATTAATTATTCTCAAAAGATTGAAATCTAGCCATTGTTGAACAACATTAATTCATCTATAATGCATCTCTCTTCATTCAAAACATTAATATTCGCGGTTCAAAACCTCTGAAAACGGGCACCGAAGCATCCGTTGCGTTTAAAACAACAAAGTGCGGCGAGCAAAAACGCGCGCGTGTTTGTTCTACCCTTGGGCTTTGCTGTTTTGCACTAATAATTTGCTCCTCTCTGAATGTTATTTGTCGAATGATTTCAGCGTGCAAGCAAATGGAGCAGGGCATCCAGGCCATCTTCGGGCCTTCGGACCCGGTGCTCGGCGCGCACATCCAGTCCATCTGCGAGGCGCTGGACGTGCCGCACTTGGAAACCAGGGTCGACTTCGAACCCAGCTTCAAGGAGTTCTCCATCAACCTGCACCCCAGCCAGGAGCATATGAACCAGGCAAGTGCTTAAATTGGTATTTTAAAAGCCAAAAGAATTTGTCAAAATGATAACAAAATATTAAAGGGAAAAAATCTTTCCGTCCCACGCGATTTATTTCAAATGTAATGAAGGTTTCTCGTCAAAATAAATTCAATTTTATTATGGTTCTGTGAATCATGATAATTGACAATTTTTAATTATAATATAGAAAGAAACGTTGTGAATAAATTAATTTTAACCTATGATAAATTCGCTTCATGCGTAAAATTCCAATGGTACAATTTCGTTTTGATTCATAATATTTTCCGTGAAACAAAACCACGCATCAACAAGATACACGTCATGCTTCGCCGACTTTGTGTTGATTCAGATCAGCGCTAACGAACGTTGCAAAGCTCAAGCAGCGCAAACAATTCACAGAAATCTAAATTGAGTTTATTTCAAGAAACGTCTACATTGCCTTGTGGTATTCACAAATGACTGAGTTTAGCAATTAATTAATAATAATTTTTCATTTAGAGCTTTTGGAAAACACACTTTTTTATAATTGATCTATAAAAGTGTCTTAATTTTTAATATTGGATGTTTTTTTTTATAATTTCTATAACAGTTCTTTTCGATCTCTTTCCGCAGGCATTTCAGGACGTGATGGCCTTTCTAAACTGGACCAAAGTGGCCGTGGTGTACGAGGAGGACTACGGTATTTACCCCTTTCGATTTTCACTGCGGTTTTGATGTTTAAACTTGTTGTCGGTGTGTTCGTTTCAGATATTACAAGCTCAAAAGGTCAGAATATGAACATGCAAATTTCTAAAGTTTCAAACTTTCTAATTTCATCAATCAAACATAACATTCATAAAATTTGCAATTAAAATATGCTAAATTTTTCAACTAACCAGATTCCGTTTCGGAGAGCAGACGAATGTTGCGAGTTCTGCGAAATGAAACTTGGGATTTGCTCTATAAAAACATTCGCCACATACATAGATTTCTCTCATGCTGAGTAGAGATAAAGTTAATCCGCAGTGCATGATGGAATGAATATGCATCAGAGCTTTAAATTAGAAGTATAATTACTCATGCAAAACGTTTGTAGCAAAATGTAGGACGGATATGATATTATATAAAACCTTTTGATTTGTTCCGCGATCATCTGCTCGAGACAGTTTTGTTAATTCTAGAAATTTAGATAAAAACCTGCATGGTTAAAAATAACATTTTTTTCCTTTCAAGCAGAAAAAAATAATGCTAAAAGGAATGAATGGCCGACCAAAAAAGCTGCCAACTTTCTCTCGTTTCATATTTTTATTTTATTTTTTCTCCCTTATTTTCTTTCGCCGCCCGAGTTGGAGCGGCGCAAAAGGAGCGCTTTGAGCACAGGAAAGAATAAAAGTGGTGCTTGCAGGCCTGTTCAAGTTGCAAGACTTGGTCAAGAGCCCGCCAACCCAGCGCACGGAAATGTACATCAGACAGGCCAACCCTGCTACCTACAGACAAGTGCTCAAGGAAATCAGGCAGAAGGAGATTTACAAGCTGATCGTCGACACAAACCCCAAGCACATGTACAAATTCTTCCGGGCGGTGAGTTCGAATTCGTTTTGTCTCCATTTTTTAAACTGTTTTAAACCATTCATTTTTAAAGAAAGGAAAAAACACCCTGCTCACCAAATTTACATGTTTATGTAAATTATGTTATTTTTTGATGATTTTAATGATTATGAGTTTTAGTTTCTTTTTAAATTGTCAATTTTTAGTTTTCCAGTACAATTTTATTATTTATTATTTTTATTTTCATCTGGGTAAAAATTACAAATTGAAATTCTCAAATTTTTGTCTTTGATTTATATGTAAATAATTTTTCTATTAAAGCAAATATTGGATATTAAAGCAAAAAATAAAAAATTATTACATTATCAACAAAATGCATTTGAAAATAATGAAATTATAACTCGATAAAATGTCAGTTTTCTCAACTAACTCCAAAGGAAATTGTAACTGTTTGCTATTTTGTCCTTTCTAATCAGATTGGCTGCATATTATATTCTAAATATGTAAAAATTTTATTCAATGTCAATATTTAAGATTTTAAAAAGCCCGATCAATTTTGCTCAAAATTCTCTTGATCTGCAAAAACAAAAATTTCAAAATGCTAGGTTCAAAAAGGATGAATAATTAGGATTACTTCACTTATTATATACTTTTAAAATTTAAAATTTTTTTTAATACAATTTTTGCTTCTTAGCAGTAAGAAAATTTAAACTCAATGCTAGTGTATTTTTGGAAAAATTATTTATTTTTCCATTTGTATATAATCTCTAATCTTCGCGCACACAAAATCTTGTTGTCCTGACAACATTTCGCGTTGGCAAAAGCCGCACCTTTTAACAATCAGCGGCGTGAAATCCGTTTTGCGATCATCTTTCACCGCTAAAAGGTCTAAAAGCGCATTGATCCACCCACAGCAGCCCACGCTAAGAGGAGAATAAACAGATTTGTCTCGCTCAGCCTTCAGACGCTTTTTTTTAGCAAGAGAGCAAAACTGCTGAGCGTTGTGGGCGGGCAATGTTTTGTCCGCCGCCTCGGAATAAAAATGCGCCGCCATAAAATTCAAATCATAAACTTCCGTCACTCGGTGCTGGTTGTGAAGCTTGATTGATTTACAAATCCCGTGCATCTTCCTCGCCATAACAAAACCTTCACACACACGATGCTGCTGGCTGGCGTCTCTTTTCTTAATGCCGCGCTCATTTGTCAACCCCTCCGAAAATGACTTACTCCCCTCGGCCCTTTTTTCTATTCATACGGCGTTCCAAATTTATTATTTCGCTGTTATTTGCAGATATAAATCGCAAACGGCGCGGAAAAAATGCCAAACAGCGCCCGACTGATTTAGTATCGCCGGTTTACGACGCGCGCTTGTGTTTATTCGCGCCATCACTCCGATCGGGCTGCTGCTTTATTACCGAATTATCGCTGATGAGCAATCAGACGCACACTCGGAAATTGCGTACGGCTTTTTTTGCAGCTCATCGACCCACCCTGATCGTCCGCACGCAATTAAAAACGAGTGCCAACGTCGACATTTTTTGCTGCGGAACAAATTAAATTGCTCTGGACAGGATTTGAATTAATAAATTAAACTGCTGAAGAATAATTAAAATTGATTAGATTTTAAGTATTTTTTTTTCAGTTTTCCGTAGGTAAAATACTGAACAAAATGAATTATTTTTAGGAAATAGAAAATGCTTTGGTACAACATTTTCCCCTCTTAATTTATTTTGTAAAATATTGTATGAAGCAGCTCATGATCGATTAGGAATTTCTTGGAACTGAAATATTCATTTGGAATTTAAAAATTCATTGTTGGTATCTCAATTTTCCAACCCTTGCATTTCAAATTTTACTCTAAAAAGTATTTTAACACAGTAAGTTTTAGATTACTTCTTTAAAATTACGTTTTGATTACATCAGTTAAAAAACCTTCAGGGAGTGCTGTTTTTTTTTTACAAATATTTCTGCTCCACGCGGTCCGTGTCGAGCGGGTTGCATAACACACTTTCTCGCAGGCTGTCGACGTTTTTATCGCCCAATCATAAACATAACAATATTGTTCCCTTGTGCGCGGCCCCCCTGCTTTTATAGTTGTTTCGTGTGCATGTGTTTTTTACGACGCAGCTCTCTTTATTTCATTTAAGTGAGTGAGTGAGATCAAAGTCAATGTTGAAAATGCAGTTGAAAATATGACTTATAAACTTTGCTTGTTCGCAGATTTTGCAGCTACAAATGAATGACTACAGATACCACTACATGTTCACCACATTTGTGAGTTTTTATTCATGAGAACGCTCGCTGCTGTCGCTTGCACAGTTTATTACGAAACTGAAACAAAAAAATGAATGAATAATTCATGGCCAAACAGGATACATTTTTGTTTGGTTACGGTGCAATTATTTTCCATTAGTGTGTACTTGGCGTTTGCTTACAAGTCTGATTTAAATTGTTGATTCCTGGAAATCTGTGTGGCAAGAAAAAAAATACACTTTTTGCTGGTCAAGCATTTGTTATACTAAATGATTATTGCAAAAATAAAATCTGATTTTATTATTATTTTCTTCATAAATTATCTTTAATTTAATTTGAAATTTAATAAAATTTGCTTTAGAAAAAATGTACAATATTCTAGTTTTATCTAATCTCAGATTAAATTAGTAGTTTGATGATTTGAGTTGCCAGCACAGAGCAAAGATGTCGAAAGTACTTAAGCTCTTTTGCTACTCGTCGTGCGATTCACATGCATTTGCCCCGTATTAGCATAAAATGACAAGCGTGCGGCGCTCACAGGCAGACAAAGCACGCAGACAAATCCTATTTGCTAGAACAAAGAGTACACATGCGTCTAACAAGCGGCAGCACGAGGGTCTCCTTCTCTCTTCTCCATTATATTATCCTGTGTAACTAAATCCGAATCCTCTTCTCCTTCAATTCAACGCGCAGGATATTGAAACGTTCGACTTGGAGGACTTCAAATACAACTCTGTGAATATCACTGCATTTCGTTTAGTTGACGTAGAGGACAAACGGGTCTCGGAAAAACTGGCACAAATGGAGAAGTTCCAGCCGATAGGGCAGAGCATCCTCAACCGCTCGGGGATAATTCAGGTGAAAAACATACATACGAGGGCGTCATTTCGGCTGCCAAGAGCAGGCGTGTGCGTGCGGATAATGTGCCATAAAATCCTCTTTGCCGGTGCATTACGCCCGCAAAGCTTTTATGAGCTGCAACAAGATTGAGCCTCCCCTGGCAGCACAACGAGTGCTTTATTGGCCGGAACATCAAATGAAACAAGGAGCGCTTGCGAACTCACCTAATTGAAAATCAGCCGTCAAATCTTGATTAAAGACTTGAGGAAAGGCGCTGCTCTTTCTTGAATACTTACTTTTATTAAGTGCTTTTGCCGCCCTCGAGCGAGTTGATCAAACGCCTACGCAGTGGAGGAAAAATCTTGTTAGCGTTTCCTATTTTATTGACGCTCAATTAGTTCTTGCTAAATTTATTGGCCTATAATTTTGTAAATCTTGTTCGCAAATTGAATTGAGGCATTAATGTCTGAAAAAAAATTGTTTTTTATAGACAATAAAATTTATTTGCTTATTTTTATTATCAAAATGGTTTTTTTATGACAAACAGAAAATTGAATAATGAAAATTTAAAATTTCTAGATTATGCTTCATTTTTTTGGTTTAATAAATTTTTTAATTTTTTATTCATTCTTAATTCTTAACAAATGTAATTAAAAAAAGTTATAAAATACAAGGCGCGATTCTGATTTCTTTAACTTTCAAGTAATAATTGTCAAAAAAAAAAAACTCCCCCAAAATCTCTCGTCAAATTTTTACTCAATTTCAGCTGCAATTTTATTCTTCAATTTCAATATATTTGGATTTTTATAGTTTTTCTTTTATATATTGTAATTCAATTTTTTTGGAAATCTATGATAGGCTGAGTCTGCACTGATGTTTGACTCGGTGTACGTTTTCGCCAAAGGGCTGTCCGCCCTGGACCAAGGTCACGTGCTCAAGCCTGCCAACCTCTCTTGCGAATTGGAGCACCCGTGGGAGGACGGGCTCAGCCTTTACAACTACCTAAATACGGTGAGTCTCGAATTTATTTTTCCGATTGAGCTTTTGACACGATTTTCTTCTTATTGAAGGCGAGTCTGCACGGCTTGACGGGGCACATAGAGTTCATCGAGGGGCGCCGCAGCGACTTCAAGCTGGACATCATGAAGCTCAAGCGCGAGCAGCTTCAACTCGTCGGTCACTGGAGCATGGGTCACGGGGTCAACATCACCGACCCAGCCGCTTTCTACGAGAGCAGTGTCAACAACATCACCCTCATCGTCATGACGAGAGAGGTAAGCAGTCTCGAAAGAATTGGCTCAAAAATTAATTTGTGAATTGAAAATTAATTTTTCAAAAATATCAAAGAAAATAAATTTTAATGTGTTAATTTTTCCTTGCAAATTTTCGTTAATTTTTTAATTAAAAACTGGCGTAAAAAGTTCATTTTCACTGATTTTCACAATGAATCATTCTAATTTAAAATTAAAATTACTTTTTAGACAGACTATTTCAATTTTTTTTAAATTTGTATAGAGCTACTCTTTAAAATTAAATTCTATCAATAAGTAAAACTGAGTAAAACATTAAAATTTTTTATAATATTATTTTTTGAAGATATTAATTAAAATTAACAATTATTTTTAATTTGAAATTAAAAAGTCAACTTTTTTAGGAGAAAATGACTCTTTTATCTGCCTAGATATTAATTACATTTAAATATTAATAATATATTATTTATCTTTCAATTTAATATAAAATCGAACAATATTTTCAATGTCCCTGAAGAATTGTGCAATTTTTCCCGTCGCATTATTTTCTCCACTTCAAAAATAGACGGACTCATTGAAGGTGCGCTTTGCTTTTCATTGAGCCTCTCTTTCTGCGACGTACTTGTTGGGAAGTGAGGCAAGCGCGAGTGTGTTTGATTAACAGGAGAAGCCGTACGTGATGGTGAGAGAAGATAAAAACCTGACGGGCAATTCGCGCTACGAGGGTTTTTGCATCGACCTGCTCAAGGCGATCGCCAACCAGGTCGACTTCAACTACGACATCCGTCTCGTCCCCGACCACATGTACGGTGTCTACGACCCCGAGACCAAATCGTGGAACGGCATCGTCCGCGAGCTCATGGACAAGGTGAGTGAGTCAGTGGACGTCTTACAAGTACTTTCGCTCCCCCCTGCAGCTCGTCATAAATTATTAATTTTGAGCCAGATTTTATCAAACTCTCGGCTAAGCTGAGAAAAGCAGCTTAGGATATAATCAAAAATTTAAATCTCTTGCATACTGATCAGGATGGGAGTTTTTAAAAATAAAAGAAGCAGTAAATCTCTCAAACTTGACCCTTTAAAAATTTATTTAGAATAATTACTTAAAACTAATAAAAGGAGACATTTTTTTTAATAAAATTTTAAAACAAAAATTAAACATCTTTTTCTTTAGTTTTAAATTATCTAACTTCAAAAATAATGTTGAGTGAATAAAATTTAATTATCTAGAAATTTCTTTAAACAGAATAAGAAGTGATACTGCAAAATAATCATATTCCATTTTATAAAGATTCTAAAATAACTGCAGTAACGATTAAACAACAGAGAAGTTCATTCTTAAAAGCTTATGAGCGCAGAATCATTGGGAAAGTTTTAAACGTCCCGTTTTCTTTAACTGTGCAATTAGCTCGGGAATAAGAATTGATTCAATGCCATATTCGCTTACTTCTTTTCTTCAAAAGTCGTTTGCCATTGTGGTTTTGCGCATTTCTTCACGTATAATTATTCTGTTTACTGGGCAATTCATTCCCACAAATGATAGCGCGCAAAGTTTGCCTGTAAAAGCAATAAAGCGGCGGCGGCGGCGGCTGAATTGTTTGTTTTCAGCAGCTTGAAAAATATAATAATGGTCCGCTCGGACGGCCATTCCCGCAGCACTAAAACGTAACAAAGTGCAATAATAATGAGCGCTGGAGACAAAGGCAAAGTGCAGTCGTAGCGTTTCTTTGTCTGCTTTTGCTTTAATTAAAAGTCAATTTCGTGCCGCCAGAGCTCTTTCTCTCCCTCCTCGCCCCGTGCTATGCAAATGGCACTACATAAATGCGGAAGCTACAGTCGTAAGTACATGCACTTGATGCAATTACAGGCCGAGTGCTCTGCAAAGCCCGACGACTTGGAGACTCTTCCTGCTTATTTACTCCGCCCCAAACACGCCGTATCAATTAATTTGATTGTGCACTTTAACTGCAGTGCGCGAAGGATAATCCACTTTTGCTGCTCAATAAGGACGGGAGACCCGCATTTATCATAATTTCAGTTGTCCTAAAAGTTCACAAAATCATTTGTCATAAATTTTTCATCCTAATATTTTTGTCCCATTTTTTCCCATTTCTGCGAAAATGTATTTTTCTAAACAAATGTTAAATGACTTTATCTAGATCTGCTTCCTGCTGAGAAAATTTTATTTTTCATTTGTCTTCCTTTATTTTTTTATCGCGATTCTGTTAAGGTGTTGTTAGCGATTGTCTCGTTGCCAACCTGACAAAAAAAGCAAAGGTCACCCAAATTTGATAAAATTTGGTATGGGGGTTCCCTTAGGTATAAATAAATACTTGGAAGTTTTCATAAGCTCGCCACAAGCAAACGGATGGGCCAATTTTCATTTTCTCCGCGGATTCTGAAAGCTCAACTTCACAAGTTTTCGACCTCCTTATTTTTGACTGGCACAATGAAAACTTTAGAATATACTCCAATACAGATGGGGGTTAATAATGATTAAAATGGAATAAAAGTTGAATTTGGACATCTGATCATTTCTTATTTTACGTGGGGGTCTGATTCTGTAAGAACGACGCCAATTGAAAACGACGACTTTTTTCAAATAGCAGTCGTCGTTTTTATATTTGGAGTCTAATTCAAATCGTCGCCCGAATTGACGTGTCGTTTTCAAAGGGTGGCTAATAATTACTTTGCGAACTTGCACGCCAAAGGGTTAACCGTTGGTCCAATTTTAAAAATCTGAATAGATTCTGAAAGCCCAGCAGTTACATCTTTTATCTTGGTTAATTATAATTTTCTAAGGGCTGAACTAATATTTTATTTTCCCGGAAAACTAAAAAAATGACAACTTGCCAGCTCCTGTTAAGTGCTAACTCCTCAGGAGTGCCAGCTGCTCAGGAGTGCCAACTCCTCAGGAGTGCCAACTCCTCAGGAGTGCCAACTCCTCAGGAGTGCCAACTCCTCAGGAGTGCCAACTCCTCAGGAGTGCCAACTCCTCAGGAGTGCCAGCTCCTCAGGAGTGCCAGCTCCTCAGGAGTGCCAGCTCCTCAGGAGTGCCAGCTCCTCAGGAGTGCCATCTCTCCATTTTATCCACAATACATAATAATCATTAACTTAACTCGCTTAATTTATCTTCGTTCTGAGTTTCTTTAACAGAGAAATCTGAGATTAAATCTGAGAAATCATAAAATTTAGCAAAATTGAATACAATATTGATAATTGATTTTGCAGAAATAAAATTAAATCAAAGCATCAAATAAAGTTATAAAACTCTCTAGTTTATTTTATTGAGACATCTCGGCCGGTCTCGCTGGGTCTTGGGCCTCGGCCGGTCTCGGTGGTTTGTAGGTCCATAGAAGCAAATTTTTTTAATCATTAAATACTTTTGTTTGAAATATATTTTAATTTTAGTTAATTTTTATTTATTATCAAGTCAATTTAATCTACATCTATTTCAATAATAGTTTCAGTTTATAATGTTTATTTAGTGTAAACTTATTTAATTTTGCTTACATTCATAAATTTTATTGAAACCAAAAGCATAAAAATTTAATGAACTATAAAAGCAACAAAAATAAAATTATTTTAGATTTTTGAGGACACTTATCTTTAGGAAAATTTTCATTTAGGACAAATGAAATGTAAAATCTAGGATACTGTTTTAGGACTTTTGCTTTTAGGCCAAATAGAGATATCAGTTTTAGGACAAATAACAGCGACTCATAAAGAGAAGAAACGAGAAATTTAGTTTGTTAACCAAATTATCTCTAAATATTCTCACTCAAATGGAAAAATTCAAAATCTGGACTGAAGGAAGATCAAATTAATTTTCTTCAGATGAAACTCAACTTTTTTAAATTAAAAATAAATTAAAATCTTACAAGCATTTTTACTTGTCCAATTTAATTATACAAAAATATGAATTATCAACAATATTTATTTCAGGTTTATGCTTGAAAATTGAACCTTTTTTGCAAGGATATTAGAGGAAAATTCTTGTTTGGTATGAACTTGACGTGAGCAAATTTATCCTTGAGATGGATGGCGTAAAATGCGAAATTTCCATTTTACCGTTAAAGCGAATTAATTGTCTCAAGTGCAATTAATGAAAGGCGTAGAGCTCAAGAGCATCGATCGCTGCAAGCATACAACGTGTGAGTGTGAGCGCGATTATTAATTCTGCTGGGAAATGCTATGGTGGGCAATTTTAAGTGCTCGTTGTTTTGCCAAGAAATATAACGTGACTTCTCAGAAAATGGAATCAATTAAGCAAATAACCCTTTTATTGTATTAAGATTTTCTTTTCTTCAACGAAAGTTTTCCTTGGTTCTAAAAAAAAAAAACGAGTCCTTTCTTTGTTGTCCAAAAGTTTCAAGTGGAATCCGCTCTTGAATAAATCAAAACTCTCCTTTCTTTTTATGTATAATTTATGACCAGCTGCTTCTTTCCATTTTCAGCCGAGCAACAACTTTTCATCCGGTTTTTTTTTTTTTGCTCTCCATCCTTCCGCTAATTAAATCGATTCAATTTGCTCCGGCGCGTACATAAGTTTTATTTTTTGGCACCTTTTCAGCGCGCGGATCTGGCAGTGGCTTCGATGACGATTAACTACGCGCGTGAGAGTGTCATTGACTTCACCAAACCCTTCATGAATTTGGGGATCGGAATTTTATTCAAGGTAAGTGAAAGTCAATACTTTCTCTGCAGAAAAAAATATCTTTAATTAAATTAGAAAATCTTAGAATAAATCAGTACAAAGCTCCGCCCTTTTTTTAAAAACATACTATCAGTAAAATATTTCGTTAGATCAATTATAATCAAGAAATCGCTTTTTTGCAACAGTAAACGTTATGACCAAAGGTTTTTTTTTAATCAAATCTGGAAGAAAAAACAGCCAGTTTGGGGAAACAATTCTTATTTATCTCTTAATTTTCAATTTAATTTTTCCATTTGCTTTATTTTTAAACTAAATTCCTATTTCATAGTAAAATATAAATAAATCTCCATTAATTCATTTTTAAAATATTTTTATCACTTAAAAATATTTCTAATTTCACTAATCTTTTTGTCTAAACTTGTGAAATTAAAAATTTCGGACCCAATATTCTGGAGGCAATTCACATCCTTTTTTTTCAAAATAACGCAATCAATCGTGGCGGAAAGGCCCTCTCGTTTGGGTTCACCCCCCGGGCTAACAAATTGCACAAGTATAGCGTGTTGTAAGAAAGGGCGGCAGCTTTGTTCTGAGCGTAAGGGTGGTTGCCCCAGGTGCCGACCAGCCAGCCGACGCGGCTCTTTTCCTTTATGAACCCGCTGGCCGTGGAAATTTGGCTGTACGTGTTGGCGGCCTACGTGCTAGTCTCGTTCACCCTGTTCGTGATGGCCCGTTTTTCACCTTACGAGTGGAACAACCCTCACCCCTGCCTGGCCGACTCTGACATCGTGGAGAATCAGTTCTCCGTGTCAAATTCCTTCTGGTTCATAACCGGCACTTTCTTGCGCCAGGGGTCAGGACTCAATCCCAAGGTTCGCACCTTTTGCTCTCTCTGTGTATTTGTTTGCATGGAAATGGGGGATTGTGCATGCCGAACGTTTTTACTCTCTTTCTCTGCATATTTGAAATGTTCACTTTCCTTTTTTATTTGCCCGCTTCCCCGGCCGATGCGCGATGACTTTTCTCTGTTCAGCGTATGCGTGAAAAGCGAGACTTCATGAATATTTTACAAGCCTGCCATTTGTTTCTACAGTTGTTCGTATCCATAGCACACACACACATTTGCAGCACGTTTTTTTTTATTTGTACGAAGCCAAAAAGCAGCGACAGATTTTTGCTCTTGCGGCCTTTGAAAGAGCTAAAAGACTTTTTAATTTGAAAGATACAAAAATAAAAAAATAGTGAAAGCTCCATATAATGTATTACGAAAAACTGGAAATCAAAGGTTTCCGAGATATATTTGTAACAAACAAAAATGCTAAAATAATGAGGGTGATCCAAAAGCAAAAACTATAGATAAACTAACTTAAACCGCATATAAAGCAATGAAATTGTTGACTTTTGTAGTATAATTTTACGATCAAGGGTTGATTCATGGTTTTTTGGGGAAAAGCCGACTTTAAATTCAAATCACCAAGAAATTTTTACTACTTTTTTTCCATCAAATTTTGTTTTCAGGCCCAATTAGGTTGTTGGACTGCCAGCGTTTGCGAATACCCTACACATGTTTGCACACGCGACTTTGTAACGAGGGAGAACTGAAAAGAAATTAGGCAACCGGCATTTGTCTGCTGCCTGCTTTGTTTTTCCACAGGCTGAGAGAGCCAACGGAAACCTTACGTGTGCAAACACGTCGGGATTCGCAAACATTCGGTCTCTTGCTTGTGGGCCGTTTATGCAACCCTCATCACTGCGCGATCGTTACAAATGTTCTGCAGAAACGTTTCCAGTCGGAATTCGTTAGCGTGCTCTGCAGGGGAGCCGCCTTAAGTGAAGAGCAAATATCAAAATTTTGTGGACAAAAAAAAAGATGACAAAGTAGAGATCCTTTTAAGTATTCCCTGTGAGATTTACTCAAAAAGCCACTACATTAAAAATAAACTATTATTTGAATTGTTTGTATCAAAAAATTGGACTCTCTGAACGTCCGAGTTTATTTACTTTTAATTTATGATTAGTACCAAAATTAATTTTGATAGTTTAATGTTTTCAATTATTTTCTAAAATAAGGGTTTCAAACTTTGCTCGGATAGAGTTTTTTAACTATTTTTCAACGAGAACAAGCCCATTTACTTCATTTTCATTATTGATCGTCATTTTCTTAAGGACTTCTTATTTGCCTATTCAAATCAAATCTTTACAACTATAGGAGCTTTTTTAAATTATAGGAAATTAACCATCATTGTTGCAAATACTTGATTTGACTATGTTTAGAAGGTATAATTAAAAAAACCTTAACAATTTTCAAAATTTAGAAAACGGTCTCAAAATAATAAGTGTATGTTTTTACATAAGATAATGATCTTTTTTTAAATTTAGATATGATTTCCAATTATTACTTCTGAAACTTTTGGATTTTTTTTCTTCCAATTTACACAATTATTTCATTAAACCAAGCTTTGAAAATCTGTCGCAATCATTGTATCTGGCTTCGGTATTATTTTGATAGCTCTCTCTGATTATTATTATTTTTTAGTCTTAAATTTGCATGCGCCGGCAATTGTGCATGAGAGTGTGTTGCCTGCCCGTAGGTGTCGGAAAGCATGCCAAAGCGGCTGTTCTCGTTCATGAAACCGCTGGCCGTGGAGATTTGGCTGTCGATGCTGGGCGCGTACGTTCTCGTGTCGCTCACCATTTGGGTGGTGGCCAGGTTCTCGCCCTACGAGTGGCGCGTCCCCGAGCCCTGTTGCCTTGGGGTGCTCGAGCCCGAGGCCGAGCCAGAGGTGTACGAGAACGACTTCACGCTGTCCAACTCGTTCTGGTTCACCATCGGCACCCTCATGCAGCAGGGCTCTGACCTCAACCCCCAGGTAATTTGTGGCACGAAATTTCATTGTGTGGAGCGTCTGTAATTTTTGTTAAACTTCTGATTAAAAATATATATTAAATCATTGCTTGTTTAAAATAGTTGTGATAGTAATTAATTTCTTTATATTGATATAATTTTATATTAATACTATTTTACCATCGCCAGGAAAATATTAATTAAAAATATAAATAAATAAATTATATACTCCATGTATTGACACCTTCAAATCAAGTCTTTATAACAGTTTGAAATTTTAACCACCATTGTTGTAAAGACTTGATATTGTTAAGGAGTCTCCTTTAAATATTATATTACATTTTGAACACTTAATTTATCTTATTATAATATTTAGAAAAACAGCACCATTTTTATAGATGTGATTGAAAAATACTTCATCTGCTTGACTCTTCTTTTAAATTGAATGAAAATCAATTAATTTTTTTTGTTTTTCTCTGCATTTTGTGACTCCCCATGTCGTATTTAGAAACTCGGAGATTGATCCAACTTTTATCAAATATATTCGTAAATGCACGATCCCTCATTTCAAATTTCCTGATTGTAATGAGACGCAAAACACTCTCTCACGCAACCAATTTCAGGCGACAAGCACGAGAATCGTTGGAGGAATCTGGTGGTTCTTCACATTGATAATAATTTCCTCTTACACGGCCAACTTGGCCGCCTTCCTCACCGTCGAGAGGATGATCACGCCGATCGAGAACGCAGCAGAGCTGGCGGAACAAACGGAAATTTCCTACGGAACCCTCGAAGGCGGCTCAACAATGACCTTTTTCAGGGTGAGTCAAGAAATTGCTTCTTGTTTTCACACCCCTGCTTAATTCTGAAAACATCAGAATCTGGGGTGTGTTGTGTTTACGCCAGTGTAGAGGAAAAAGTTTTCACAAAATGCAATTCCCATCTACTTTACATTTTTATCTCTTTGGCCAGGATTCAAAAATAGGAATCTACCAGAAAATGTGGCGCTTTATGGAAAGCAAGCGACCCTCGGTGTTTGTCAACAGCTACGAAGAGGGCATCAAGAGGGTGCTCGAAGGCAACTACGCCTTCCTCATGGAATCCACCATGCTTGATTATGCCGTCCAGAGGGACTGCAACCTCACCCAAATTGGAGGCCTCTTGGACTCAAAGGGTTACGGGATTGCAACGCCAAAAGGTACAGACTTTAATCTTTTAATCGGATTCTTCTATAGTTTAAAAATAAATTATAATATTTTATTCTCATTTTCATGATTTAAAAACAAATGTGGGAAGCAAAAATATAAGACGATTTTTTGAACTAAGATAGATACTTGCGATTTTAAATAATTAGTAAAAAAATTATTCATTAATTTAAATAAATAAATTATTACTTTCATCTTCAGATTATTCAGGAATAATACTGGAATTTTAATCAAATTTGCAAGGTTCTCCGTGGCGAGACAAAATTTCTCTGGCCATCCTGGAGCTGCAGGAGAAGGGCACAATCCAAATATTGTATGACAAGTGGTGGAAGAACACGGGCGACGTTTGCAACAGGGATGACAAAAGCAAAGAGTCAAAAGCAAACGCGCTTGGAGTGGAAAACATCGGTGAGTTTGTCAGGAACATCTCATCTCTCTTTGCCCCTCCTCCCTAGAACTTTCCTTTCCTGTTCAATTATTCAAAATATGTTGATGTCTTTTTCTTCTTTTTTATCAACAAAATGTTTGCACGCTCTGAATTTATTTGCATCAAAATTTCTATGCATCGATCTAAAAATAAACGGCATATTTTCGTTTTCAGGCGGAGTTTTTGTGGTCTTGCTCTGCGGTCTTGCCTTGGCCATAATTGTGGCGGTGCTCGAGTTCTGCTGGAATTCCAGAAAGAACGCGCAGACTGATAGGGCAAGTATAATTATTTCCTCAATTTAAACACTTAATTTGATTTAAAATTGTGCTTGACCTTTAATTTTCCGCACTTAATTTTCGTCGTAATTATGATTTTCCTGATTAGAAATTTTGTCAACAGCAATCTTTGTGTTCCGAGATGGCCGAGGAACTGCGCTTTGCGATCCGATGCCACGGATCGCGTCAGAGGCCCGCTTTAAAGAGGACCTGTTCGAGGTGCTCGCCAGGAACAACTTACGTTCCCGCAGCGTTAGAAATGCCTCACATCAACGGGGTAAATCTAGATCCAGTGCTACATGTAAATATGCCAATTCCTTTAGATTAGATCTCAATCTTGTGATTCGTCATTCTCATGATTTCAGACGTTTTGTTACAAATTTTCCAAAAATTTAAATCAAAAACATATCGCCAAGCTAAGATACGTTTTTGCAATTTGGTTCAATTTGATGTGTATATAATTTAGTTTTAAATTATTTGAATTTCTATTTTTGTTTAAAACTTTTTAAAAAGTGCCTACACCATAGAGAAGTAGTAATTTACAAAGAAAACTTTAAAATAATTATCTAATCACAAAATTTAAACTTGAACTTTTGAGATTATTGTGTTGTTAATTTTATTTAAAAAGCTACTGTAATTATTTCAGTTCATGTTATTTGCTTTCTGTATCTTGCTTTATTTTGTTTACATTAAAAGAATTTACAGTGTTTGTGCAGTGAGCAAAATGATATATTTGATAATTTTAAATGTGACGAACAGAGACACACCAAAGAAAAACGCCAATTTTCATTTTGCACAAATTTTTCAGTACAGTTCTTTTCAAATTCTCGTTCTTTGGCATTTCTCTGTTAAATCAAGTCAAATGAGAAATTTTAAATTCGCCAGAGATATTGTAAAAATGTGAAAATTTTTATTCTGACACTGCCAGTGTGTACTAAAATTATATATGAAAGCATTCACTAAGGCCAATGCTACTCTGCGTAGGATAATAGTGTGATGCTAGAGATGCATAAAACGTCGATAAGCAATTTCCAACTGCCGGACACTTAGCAAGAAAGGTGCGTGCAACACACACCATTGTATAAATGTAAAACACATTTGAACCCAGCCCTTGACCTTGAGTTCACGCTTGCAGAGGACCTGGTACTTCCACCAGGACGGCCACCATCACTCGCACTCGCCGCCCGCCGAGGCAGCCAACCCTCACACCTGCTGCGACCCCGACGAGTGGGACAATGTCTTGGTGGCCGAGAAGCACGGCCTGTGATAAACATAACAGACGCTTTTCGTACTGCGACGCCGCCCCTTGAGAGTCTCGCCAGACCAAAATTCATACACACATTTTACTTATATTAATATAAAAATAAACTTCTTGCAGGTTGTGCCCTAAAATAAACACATTAAATTCAAAAGAGAGACTTAAGTATTTTTTAAATTTCTGATTGTGAAAAAAGATCAAATTTCAATACAAATTTTATAATTGTGATACAAAAATTCGTCAAATCAGGATTAATTTTGCCATCAAGTTTTTTCATGAAATTTTGCCTTCTTTCATATTCAGGAATAAAAAATTGCTCATGTCCCTCTTTAAAAAAAAAACTTGTTATTTGTTGTGGTCACCAAGTTTTGGGGGTTTTCATTCATTTTTAAAATTAAAATATCTAAAATCAGATAAAATGGATTTCTATTGTGACTTTGATTGGTTGCTGGCGTTATTGACAATGATGTAACATGAAATTTGCGTGGAAGACCACAATCCAAATGATCAAGATAATAATTAATAAGGAAGACGCCGAAAATACACACACTGAGGAAAGCAACGCCGACGACGACTTGAGGGAATGTTGTAATTAGACACGGGGAAATTGCTATTCTTGTAAAATTAAAACTTCTACGCAAAAGTAAAATTAAAAATCGATGTGGATTCATAAAAAAAGTGTGATTCTGGATGGAGAATTTTTTCTTAAATGTGTCAATGTGGGTCAGCTTGAAAATTATTGCGCATGTTGAAATATCTAGAAAATGTTATGTTGCAAATTTATCGGGGTGTTTGATATTATGAGATGCAAAAGGTTTGTGAGAAATACAATGTTGAGCATTGGACGTAATATAAGGATTTTTAACGATTGACCGAACCGATGGAGTGTAAAAACACAATAAAAACTTCATGTTCTAAATAATTCAATTCAAATATCAGTTTAATTACTCTTACCGTTTAATTTTGAATTGCATTTGAAAAAATAGCGATTGTTGACGAAATTTATTTATTTATTAATTCTGAAACAGGTGATGAATGTTTGTTAATTTCAATTATATTTTTCTGTTTTTAAAAGTAATAAAATTGAATTTTAAGTTTAAAAAAATTCTCGTTCAACATTAATTCCAAGAAACTCCTGTCAGCAGCGATGATGCAACCCGCTCGTCACTTCCGTCAAGCCGGTTGCCTACTTTGTCAAACCACAAAAATGTCTCTCCTGGAAGGAAAATATTTATAAAAGGGCCGACGATCGGTCGTTGGAGTCCCTGGTGTACTTTGGCGGCGGGTGCTGCCACCGCGAGGACGCGGCGCCAACCCCGTCGGGCGGCGCCGATCTCTGCGCCAGTCTCTCGGCGTGGCGAATTTATTTGCTGCCGGGCTTTTACTGAGCTCTATCGATTAGAATAGAGCACTACACACGCTCTATAACGACACGACGAGACATGAACAACAGATAATTTAATGTGGCCACTAAATTTAGTTATACGACCGGCCTGCATGCGCGGCAGATGCCGAATGCACCCGCGGATCGACCCGGTGCCGCCTCGGCCTCGCCTTAATTTGCTTATATTAATTAAAAATAATAAACTAAACAGTTCTTTGTTATTTCACGGAAGTGAATTCGGTTGAATGACCCACTTTGCTTTTTTTATTTTTTCAGAAACCATGAATTAATGGATTTTTTTATTTGATTTATTTAATACAAAAATGTGCGAAAGATGTGACCCGGAGCATGACGGACATCAAGAATCCTTTCAAATGTGCAAAAAATATTGCCCAGGGAAAAATATATAAAAAAAATGACACCTTTTCCGGGCTTTAGGGTGATTAATCTCTCTTCATCCGCTTATCACCTTCGCTGTCTATTTCATGAAGTCTTGATTGGGAAGAGAGTTTTCTGGGGGAGAAATAAATTTGTAAAGAAAAATATGGAAAAAAAGAAAGAACAAAGTAATATCAAAATTAATGATCATGCCTTTTACGTACAGAAATTAATCAAAATATTGCAGTATAAAATCGCAATATAAATGTAATGTTAAATAATGCAAAGCCTTTTTGGAAGAGATAATGACTCCTTAAAAAGTGTTTACAGCAATTTTTGGAAACCGTGCAATTGGAAATTGTAAGTTCGCTCTTGTGTAAAGATTTAATTCGACTTTGTTAATGGGTAAATCCCAATTTCTCTTTTTTTTTGCAAAAAATTTACTGTTTTAATTTGTCAACATTGTTACAATATCATTTTCTCTCTCAATATATGAACGACCAATTTTTTAGCATCACAAAATGGTACCATGCCTAGCAAGAACTTTAATCAATTGTAGATAAAAATTTAATTCAGTCTTGAATAATTTTTATATTATAATTAATAGTAAAATTAATTTACAGCAAAAATTGTTTGATATTATCGCATATTTCATTTTAATTCCCTTTTCCTCTTTTGAAAGTGAATTTTTGTTTGTTAATAATTTAAAATTATGTTTAATTGAAATCAATACGCTTTGCGATTTATGATCAAATTTATTGAGTGTAAAAAAGAAGTTTGCATTTTGAGGAAATTTCCTCAAAGCCGCCGTTTTAGTGGAGCCGCAGCGGCCGCAGACCCGGCGTTCGGCAGAGCATTCGGAGCGGCGCGGCAGCACCGCAGTAACAGGTGCGGGCCAACTTTCAAAGGCGGCGCGCCACCGGCCTAGTTCGTGACGGACGGCGCCGGCGCATGCGCCGTGCGCGCGCCCGCAGCGCCACTGGCCGGAGCGCGGCCGGCCGCGCAACGTGCCCGTCGCTCCGTGTTTTGGGTCAGTGTTTCGACAGACATCTTGTGCGCGATTCGGCCGCGTTTGCCGCGTTCTGCTGCGTTCGGCTGCGTCCGTCGGGCCGATTTGTGAGTGCCGGTGGGCGGCCGATCCGCCAATGACTGTTTAGTGCGCCGCCAGCACCGCCACAATGTCGTCCAACACGCCCAAAGTGTCGACAACAGAACGAGTCGTCAAAAGTAAGCACCCCGGGCCGCCCCCGGGCCTCGCCCGCCCCCGCCCCCCGGGTCACGGCCGACTCGGCCGAAACCTGCTTTCCGACCCGCAGGCCCTACCTTGCCGCCCCCGGGGGCGGCCGCCCTGCCTGCCAAGGCACCAACCGGGGTGGTGCTCATTCACCCTCATTCCCCCGGGGTAGAGAAGAGAGGGTTGAATCGGTGCTACACACCCCGGCAGGTTCTCCAATTTGACAGATCACTTTCAATTTTTGCATTCGGCTCGATTATTCTTATCACATTTGGCGGGAATTTCAAAATGTATAAGAAGAAATGACGAAGGTGAAATTTTGCAAACTAAATTTTAAAATTATTTTCTTCGATTTGTGCTTAATTTTTAATTACAGAGAATTATTTTGCTTCTAACTTTGGAATTCTAGATTCAAATTATAGAGTCAGGTGAAAAATTTACTTAATATATTTTATTTAACAAAAATAATTTACACTTATTTATTGAGTTTAAATTTAGGTGGAATAAAATTTTAAAAAAAACTATCATTATAAAGAAGTATTTTTAAATTTTAAAATTAAATTAGGAAATTTTAATTTATAAATAATAAATTTTATCAATTTATTTATATTATTATATTTAAATCTTTTAAAAGACTTAATTGCACGATTATTTATTAATTTTTTTAATTTCATTCAAATTACAATTGAAAACGTATAATCAAACAATAGGCAATTATCATGAACTCTTTAGTTCGAGACCCAATTTTCGGCAGAAGCCACAGAAGAGAATGTCGCGTTCTTTTTTTATCACATTAAGCGATGGATTACGGACAGTAATTCTGCCTGACGTGTCCATTGTGGCACTACCCCTGTCATGAAACGTCCTTGACTCGAAAGTTCTCCTTATCAAATTACAAAAAGAAAAAAAAACACATTTAAATTCGAAAAAAATTCCAGAGAGTTTTTTAATTTGCTTTTTCTTGGTTATCTTGAACTTTTTGTAACGGCGCCATTAAATATACAGGCCTTTTTATCGCTCTTCTTGATTTCCAAGTAAGTTTTTCGAAAAATTGAATCGCACTGAATTTCTTGGTATAATTTTAATTGGAAAATCTCAGGTTTTATTTTTGAATTAATTTCAAATATTTTTGAAAATTGAAATTCTTCTTTTTTTGTTCATATTATTTAAGAATTTCCTTTCAAATTTGTTTCCTAGCAGTTTTTGTTCTTCTATGACTAATTAAAACCTATCAATGATCGGAAGTGGGCGTAATCGAAGTTGGAAGTGGTCGCTGATTTGTTTTTATCGCCCGAGCAGGGATTTAAGACTTCCTTTGCACGTTTAGATCTCCGTAAGGAAAAGTCAAGAAACTCAATTTGAACGATACAATTTAAAGAATTAACAAAACGTTTATATAGCTTCTGCTGAAAAATGACTGAATTAATTTTATTTACATCACAAAAATGTTATACATATTTTTTTTGTCTTGGGCAAATTGTAATGTAAAAAATTTTCTTCATTATTTTAATAGGAAAATTTAATTTTAAACAGTTTAAAAATCTTTTCGTCAGAGCAATTTATTGATATTATAAAAGGGCCTAAAAATTGATTTTATTTAATTTTTAATTTTATGAATTCGTCATTTAAGGTTCAATATTATTTTGATTCAAATCAAACAATTTCCAAAACGTTATGTTTTTCCCACTTTTTCTTCATTTGAATTTTGTTTGCTCCGCGATCTTGAGCTTGACGGCGGTCTAAGAGGAGAATTGAAATTCATGAGGCAAGAGTTGCATGCGACGCACGTGCATAATATACCTACAAAGTATGTGGCAAGAGTGAATTATGCAGTGCGGGGCACTTTGTAAGTCGCGGCGCAGCAGGCGAGCCACCTACATACCCAGATGCTCTAAATTTATATTTATTTCCATTCGCTCTCAATTCTCAATTCAGCAGCATCGCAAGAACTGCATTCGACTCCTTCATTTCCCTCCGTAATTACGTCATGCTTAATTTTAATTAGGCTCTGCATCAATTAGAATTAATCCTTAATCGTGTCAGTTTTTTTCCTCAAATCAGGTTTCCCGATCTGGATAACAATGTAATGGTTCAATTAATTCTTCAGACACAAGCCAAATTTTGTGTTGCACTAATTAGTTTGAAGAATGAGCAAACGGTGCCAAAAGGAGCTCTTTATTGTTCTTAATTTCTAATTTAAAATTCTTACATTTTGAATTATTCATTATAAAGTTATTTCACTTTAAGAAATTTGGAAACTAAAGTTACAAATAATTGTTTTTATTTCATTTTCATATTTGCAAACTTTCAAAACAACAAATCACTGGGTGGGTCTGAATATGAGAGAATCGATTCTCGCAGCGATTCTCAAGAAGTGATTCTCAAGGAACGTTTCTGCCATTGAAAAACCACCACAGCATCGTTCCTTGAGAATCCTTGCTCAAGAATCACTTCTTGAGAATCTTTTCTCTCGAGAATCGATTTGCCCACCAACGAATCATTTGATAATTCAAATATTAATTTATTAAAGATAAAGTTTATCAGATAATTGTGTGTGAAATCCAGATGGGAGTCAAAATTCGTTAGATAATCAATTTTACATTTAATCTTTTGACCGAGCACGCAAAAAATTACCAGACAAGAAGATTATGAGCGACTCTGTTAAGATTCTTATCGGTTTAGTTTTACAGCCGAGCAATAAAATTACTAAAATCACGTTCGACCGAGATCAATCGGCTCATTTAAATAACAGTCTGGTTTGCGCGTGGCCACTTTCCCTTTCTGCGACTTGTTTTCTAATAGTTTATTTTTTACGCAACCACAAAACTTTTAATGATTTGATAGCTTCAGATTGAATGAAATGGAATTCACAAGTTCACGTTAGTAAAATTTCAAAGGTTTCATGAAGAAAATAATTAAAAATGGTTCACTTTACATCATCAAGTAAAAATCCATTCTTATTGATACTCTGTAATATCAGAATTTGGTCAAATATAATTATAAAAACGCATGTTTAGAAATTATGAAATAGTAACACCACCAACAATCTTTAAAATTTTGTTAATATTTGATCACTTGCTATTTATATAGCATTTTTTAGTTGATTTAAATTAATTTTAATGAAATTTTCAGCTGCAGTTGTGTTTTAAATTTAAATAAAAGGTTCTTTGCTTGACTGTGAATTCGATCTGAAGAAAACACATAAAATCCATTAGTAAATTCGCCAACTTTGAATGGGTGCAGTTGTTGGATTTTATTGAGCGCGTTCGCGTAAACAGCTGTCTGCGTGTATAATTTGTGTCTGGGGCCTGAATATTTGGAGAGCACGCCGCGCTGCAGCCGAGTAATTAATTAAGGAATGGGTAAACACCGGCCCCGTTGTTTGCGGCGTGATTTACGTACGAAGAAGAACTCGAGGCGCCGAAATCTGTTCAATTCAATTACAAACACATTCATGGTGAGGCAACGCGCCGCGCGAGAGAGAGACACACAGATCGGGTTCAATTGGGCCAATTATTCGCGCCAGAGGAATTCGTCCTCACGCGTTTTTTTATTGATTTGCGTCCGGTTGAAAACAAAATTGTCATTGAAATGTAATTCATAATTATTTTTTCATAAATTTAAACCGCAATTCTCAGAGAAAAGAGATGAATGATGAATAAAAATAGGTCAATTGACTCCACAAATCTTTAAATAACTAGAGTTTTGTTATGTCCTAACTAAAACTATAAAAAATTACAAATAAAATTTGGAGAATTTCATTTAGCAGCAATTTCAGGAATTAATTTATCAAAGGAGTCCGTCGATAGTTTCATTTTCAGACATTTCCAGAGAGTCCAGAGCAATAACAATAAAATTCAAAGATTCAAAATAATCTGCCTTTATTTTTCAATTTTGTGTCTCTTGACTTGAAACGTTAATCTCGGTTTCCATTTTTGATGAAATCCACCTTGTGTGTTATCTTTTAATTCAAATTCTTTACAACTATGTTATGTTTTGAAAATTTTAGTCATTATTTTCTTTTAACGTTAAGTTCAGAACAGGATGGTTTACTGTAAATATCTTTAAAATGCAACCATTTTTATATTTAATTTTTAGATTCTTTTTTAAATTAAATAAAAAACCTCTTCAGCAATTAAAATATTTAAAGAAATTTATAATTAGAGCTTTATTTATAAATTGTAACAGTTTAACTATTTCAATCTTTTTTTCATTGTTAAAATTTCCTTAAAAAATTATTCAACAAATTGAAATCTTTCAAGCTAGAAATAAAATTATTTTCTTTATTGAACCATAAACTTGTTTTTATGGCCACAAATTGATGTTTTTGGCATTTATATTAAATATCGGTATAAATATAATGTTTATATTTAAATTAATTTTCAAAAATTTCAATATTACTTGAAAAATAATATTATTTACTATATTTATATGTAAATAATAGTGTTGAAATTGAAAACTTGAATCTTAAATAACATTTTTTTTTTTGATAAATGTATTTTTAATATTTTTTGTTGTAAATTATATTCATTTCAGATTTAATCGTAAAATAAATTTTTTTTTCAATCCGCTTTAATATTCCATCAAAAAATGCATGTAGATGTTTTAAACCTTTTATTATGTGTAAAAAATATAATAAAGGTCAAAGTCAAATCAAGTGTTTACAACAATAGGATCCATTTTTGGCAATCTTTGGAAATGTTAACCACCATTGTTGTCAATAACTGATTTAGCAATATCATTTAATGAATATTATCAAAATTATAAATAATTTCTATAATTCCAGAAAACAAATTTTAATACTTCTTGAATAAACATGTTCTTAACGAATAAATTTATAAGCTTTTTTACTGTTTAAATTCTAAAAAAAAGCTAAATGAAAATTAAATTTTATCAGATTTTTTTTTTAACTCATCTTCAGATTTTAAGAAGCCAACTTTGATCGCGCGTTTGGTGATTGACCAGTGAAAAGTGAAGCTGGCAGCGTGCGTCTGACAACAAAGCACCTGGCGGCGCCCAAGGTGCGCGTCTCGCGGCGTCTCCGCGGCGCTAATTAATCGCGCGCGATATGATGAGTGATAGGCTGGGTGCCGAGTTGGGTCCGCGCCAGCGATCGTGATTTCTTCTCACGCGCCCACCCCCTTGGCACTGATTTCTTGCCCAGCACACTTGGCTCGCTCGGATTCTCCTTTGTGAAAAATATACAAATTGGCGCATAATATGGGCGGCTGGGCGGGCGAGCGCTGAAATTTTTACAGGCTGATCGATGAGAACCGCGATTGTTCTCGACTTTGCGAAATCGCTCCACGCCCGAGGCTTCTTCGGACGGACGAAAAAAAAGAGAGGAGAAGAGTTGCATAAATCGAGAGGGCAAAGAAATATTTTAAAAGGACCAAAAAAAAGTATTTAAGAATACAAAAAACTTGATTTAAATATTAAATGAATTTGATCTTTGAGAAAGCAAATTATTTGAATTTAAAATAAAATGGAATAAATTTAAAAATAAAAAACTATAGAAATATCAGGAATCTAGTAATTTAAAAATATAAAAGTACATATTGCTTTTTTTTTTTAAATTTTTGTATGCAAAATTTTTTTGTAATTTCAAATTAAATCTGATAAATACATACCTGTTTTAACTCTAGACTTGTTGAGTTAGAATAACGAATTTAGGAATTTAAATTAAAAATTCCATTGATTTTAATGATGGTTTAAATTTTAGGAGTTTTAGGGTGTCATTTTTTTTTTAATTCCGCTCTTTTCTCGCTCTTGGCCTTTATTGATCAGGGTGCTCGTTCTCATTATTTCCTCCCTTTCTCTCTACCCACAAGTTTTGAATGCCCACAAGGGCGAAATGACGAAATGCAAACGCTCGATATAGCATCGGCAGCTCTTTTTGGATCAAAATAATAAAAGTCCGAGTCACGCGACAACCGCGCGCGCGCTGAGGAGTCCAAATAATAATGCCCATTCTTTTAATGCTGCAGCAAAAGTGGCATATTTACTGCTCGTAAAAGTGACACTGATGCTGTTTATTCGAGCTCGAAATTGACCCTTTTCCAGCTTCGCGCGACGTGTTATTTGTTTCTCCTCGCCAATGTGTCTCTGCAGCGATACACAAAGAGTCAATCGATCGGTCACGAACAAACTTTGGCTTCATTTCAATTAAAAAAGGTGCAAATCAATCAGTTTAGTTTAATCGTTTTTAAATAAATTCTAAATTCTTCAGATATCGTTTCGTTTAAATATTTATTGGTTTACAAATTTAGTTTTCATTTATTACAAAATACTTTTCCTACAATTTATGTATAAAGGTTTTTTCTAAAAATTAATTTTTATGGTAATTTTCTCTACATTAGCATTGGTTTCAGGTTTGTAGATGTAAGAAAATTTTCAGACATGAAGATTACGGTATTTTTTTAATTTAACATTGTTATTTACAGGAATTTTCTTGAATAATTTTTATTTGTCAAAATTGGCCAGGCCAAATGTGATAAAAATATCAGCAATACACGTTCAAATCAACCCAATTAAAATGATAAATTGAAATCAGTAGGTTAGTCTAAATAAAAAACTATAAAAAATTTAAATTTATCTCATGGAAAAATGTTGAGATTTTAATTTCTATGAAGATATCATCATAATCTCGTTAACTTGGTTTTCTTATTAACAATGTCGGTCAGATTTTCCAATAACTGTCAAAAATGGCTCGTATTGTTGGCGAGACTTGATTTTTCTATGCCAATAAGAAGTCCTTAAGCTCTCGAAGACAATTTTAATTCTATTGAAAATATTTTGTTAACTTATTATTTAATTTAAATTCATACCAGGCACGGTTTATTCTGATCTAATTACCCTTTTATTTACTAAAATATCCTGCAAATTCTTAAAATCGGTTCATTATTGTTTTTTTTTTAATTGCATTAGGAAAATCCAATGGAAATTCTGAACTGGTTTCAGATTAAATAGTAAGAAATCAGCAAAGGATAAACTGATCTGAGCACAACCCTGAGATAAATGGAATTTAAAAAATTATAAGCAAAGTTTTCCTTCTTGATGTCGGTCTGTCTATTACAAGCTTGTGCTTAATAGAAAAGCGTGCTCCGTGATGTTTATTCAATAACTTGAGCGGAGAACAATCGATAAAGGCAATCAATTTGAAAATTGACTCGGTTAATTAATTTCTCAGCCATGATTGCACTTTTATCTTTTCTCTTACCCGATTGTGTATATTTTCGTGGCAGATTCCGCTGCAGCTGATCCGGCGGTCGGTGGTGCCGCGGCCAGAAAATAGTAGCCACTGCTGAATTAAACAAAGTTTCGAGGCCAAAATAAACTCGGGCGGAACGTGGCTCTGATCGTTTTGCTTTCTTTTAACTCACGTGTGCTGCGCACCAGTTTTTTTTTTCATACAAAGAGGTTTCAATTTAAACTGTGTAATTTCGACTAATTTAAAAACGTTTTGTAAATATAGACGCGCGAAAAAATAATAGATTAATATAAAATATAAATGAAATGGAATTTTTTTAAATCACAAAATTTAGTTGATGATAAAATTATTTATTTCCTTTGATTTCGGATTGTTTTAATATTAATGATGCAATTAATTGCACTATTTTTAAAAACTTCATATTATTTTTACAAAAATTTACTCTTTTAACAAAGATAAATAATTAATTAACCCAATTTTGCGTCAAATTCGATGCGATTATTTTTGAGAAAATCTGAAACGAGTTGAACCGCGCTCGCAATTTATACGTGAACTCTGAACTTGCTCTCGTGTATATGAGTTTGAAGGGTCAAATTGCGCCCTCCTGAGGCGTCTTGCACAAAGTCGGTTTGTGCGAAAAGTCAAACACGAAGCCCAGGTGCAGCGCGAGGATGCGCGCGGCTGGCCGGCCGGCTATTTCCAGAGAGAGCTTGCTTGGCCCCCACAGGCCGACCCGCCCGTCCGCCCGCCGATCAAAGAAGCGGGCCAAAATAGGCGCCGGCCTCGCCTCCCCCCGCCGCCACCGCCCAGACCATTTATCGCTCAAAATCACAACTTCGGCAACAAATATTTACTTCATTTCAAAGAATTTTCCAATATTTCGAATGAAAAGTACTTTTAATTATTTTTTCAATTTTATTACAGAGAGCGAAAGAAACATCTCAAATGATGCCTTTTGAATTTTTAACAAAAGATATTTTATTAATATTTGAATTATTTTGCTTGATTTTAATACAACTTGAAAAAAGAATTCAAAATTGACAGATTTGAGATAAAAAAAACTTGCAAGGATTAGTGATTTGTTTTAATTCACAGCTGAAAAACGAAGGGAATTGTTATATTACCAATAAAAAGTATTGAAATTTTTGTATTTCACTTAATATATTAAAAAATTAAATAATTTTAACAATTAATTGTATATTAAATTGATTAATTTTGAATTTTTGTTTAAAAAAAATGCTGTTCTATTTTCTTGTATTTATCTTTGAATTGAAATTCAAAAGATTTACACTTGAATGAACCTTTTCATAGTTTCAAATTCTCCATTTCTCCTTTTATTGTCACCAAAACATCAATAAATTTTAGTTTAACTTGTAAATTTAAGGTATGTTGTTTGTTGATTGTCAAATTTGAATACTGGAATTTATTTTAAGTTTAATTGCAAGAAGTGGAATTAGAATAACGTGCTTTGTAAACAGAGACGTCTCTTGCTTTGTTGATGCCCAATTTATTTCGTTAACCGCTAAAAGGAGAAAAACTACTCGCCATGCTGCACGCAATCGCTGCTTTTATTTTTCAGTCCCTTAGATTCAAGTGCTGTTTACTTGTTGAATCCAAGCCCAGACTTGTGGTTCTCACAGCATAAGAGGGAGCAAAACTCCTGAGATTAGGGAAATCTTTATCCAGACATTTTGTTCGTTTCGGAAAAAATATTCATCAAGTTTGTTATTTCGCGACCTTATTTACTTTCTTCAGCTTGGCGTTTATAATTTTATTAATTATTAATAAGTTTTTATTTCAAACTAAATTGTCATAAATTATAAAAATTGTATTTTATGGAGAGCAAAAATTATTTACTGTAAAAATGGGTAGCAAACAATTGTTTTTAAGCGATTTCTATCTGTCCAAATTAGGAGAACCTGAACTAAACTTTTTTATTTAAATTTTGAAACTTTTTCAGTGTGTCTGATTTGACCTTTTGCAATGGTAGGTGTTCCGTTCCCACCAAACTCGCGGCTGACGATAGCAGATGTCTTCGACTCGAGGACCAACAAGCCCCGGCCGGACGTGCTCAAACAGCACTTCATCCTCGAGGGGCGGATCGACGAGACGGCCGCGCTCCGCATTATCAACGACGGCGCCACCCTCCTCCGTCAGGAGAAGACTATGATCGACATTGAAGCCCCAGTCACAGGTGAATATCACAAAACAAAGAAAGAGAGAGACGTGCAAATTGAAAGCGCCGAGCGCGGCATCGATTCAACCCAGAGTTGAATTTGTTGGCAGTTTTGGCAAAACTTGATTCAATATCTATTTTTTCATGGATCTGAACAAAATTTCTGATCAGTTTTTATTTAGTTAAATTATCATCTCATTGACAGCTTTTCAATAATTTTTACTCAGAATCGCGGGTAAAAAGCTGATTGATGACGTAGAACTAATAGTTCGCTAATATTTACATAAGTTCAGTTTTATCTTCAATAATTTTATGTCCAAGTATAAATTTAAAACAATTCAGAAACAAGAAAATCAAGTTTAGGATTTTCAGGAAGGGATTTTGTACAATTTGTTCTAGAATCAAAAGCTGGAATGTTTCAATATATCAATTAAAATAAATTTAAGTTCCACAACTGCAATTTTACGGTGATTGACATTAATATCTTTTGTTAAAATCAATCTTAATTCCTGGGCAGAATATTATATAATTTTATTCTTGTAACCAGAATTTCCCCATTTATTCCATTTTATTGCAGCACAAAAAAAGAATTTTATTATGGAAATAAAATATGCAAACAAAGCTTTTTATGAAGCATTCCGAGGAAATAAAAGTAATGTGAGCTCGAGTGATAAGTTGCTATGACAACTGGCGTTTGAAATCAGAGTCTCTGCTCCTAATGAGCAGCAAACTCGCAGACTCATAATTCAAAATTATGACTCGATTTTAAATTTATTTCAAATGTAAGGAAAATAATAAATTGGCCCTGCAGAAAAACCAAGTCGGCTCTGAAACGAAGCTAGGTGAGGTTTTGCAAAAGCCTCAGCGGCCGATTTTGTTCATGCGAGAGGATTTGCTGCTCTTGAAGCTTGGATCTGTCGCACTGCAGAATTGCTCGCTTGCTCGCTATCTCCGAGCGCGGTGACCTCCGACCCGAATGCGCATGTTCCTTATCAGGAATCGTGCAACCACTACTTGGTTCACAGACACGCTTCAAATTAAAAAAAAAAAAAATCCTAGTTTATTTAATCAATGATTCGAGTTGTCCAGAAAATCTCATAAAAAGTAATAATTTTTTAATCGAATTTGATTCTTTATTAGTCAAAAAAAATAAAACCAGGTGGTGAATTGAAAATTATTTCACCAGCTTGTTGAAAATTCCGTGTTGGCACAACAATTGTTTGCTTTGTGTTCGGCCAACGCGCTTTTACAATTATGCTCGAAAACGCCACGTTTTGCAAACAAAAGAAGTTTTAAACTCGCAATTGTGGCCTGAAATTTACACTCGCTGAGCCCAAATGGTAAAAAAAAATCACAAAGCTTGGATTAGCGTGTTTAGATTAAAATCGTGTCACTCTCGGCTTATAATGTTGATAGAAAATTTAATTAAAAGGCCAACTTCAGATTAAAAAAATATGCAGTGAAATAAAATAAATATTGGCAAATGCATTTAGTAAAGAACCTGATTTTTTTTCCATTTTTGAAAATTGTAAACTTGGGACCTTTGGAAAGGGCTCTGGAAGCGATTTGACCCATATTGGAAGGGAAGGCAGGAAAGAGGTGCGGCGGCGGCGGGCAGGCGACTCGGCTGGCCTTTTCACTGGGGCCTCCTGTGTCAGAATGGTTAGTGGAAAGAGCGAGTTGTAGTGGCGCAAAGGGCGCAGCAAAATCGATAAAGAGAACTGGCTGGGCCGTATTAGGGCACACGCTCCACTCACTCGCACTCACTCGCTGTTGATATGCATTATGCATAATTCTCGCTGGCCGATGGTTCCGTCTGATCGCCCGCTTCGGACACGGCTCGGAATTTACACAGGTCGGAAATAAAACGCAAACTGATCCGGAATCTTCTATTACTAAAAGTTGATGAATTATAAATGGATGTACAAACTTGGGAAGGCTTCAATTTAATTTATTTATTTATTATAAGTTGTATGAATTTCTGTGAGCTTTTCGTATCTTCAAAAGAAGATGGTAGTGAAAAAACTGGCTTATTTTACATTTAAAAGAGATTTGATTTTAATTTTTTCTGGACAACAAAATTTATAAAATTCTGTTCTTCTGAATATTCCCGCCACTGCTCAAAATAATAACTAACCCCATCTATTTGTCCCGAATTAAATTATTCATGAAGTTTGGTTTTTGTTCCGTTTCTTGTGCAGTTTTTGCGGATTCTCCTTAATTCCCCGCGGCACAAGCCGATTTTATAATAATTACGATTCCTCTAAGGAACCTCAACAGGTCTGCTTCGGCTAGAAATTTCGCTCCGAGATGATTTTTATCTGAGCCGTTTTAGTCGCCGGTGACTTATGAGGCGGGCCTGATAGCGATCCCGAGTGTAAATTACGGCCGCATTATTTTAATGTGGCCAGCCTGCCTCGGTACATGTGCTGTTTTCTTTTTTTTTCATGCCATTTTTCATCATAATTGCCGCCAATCAGGCTAGCAAAAGAAAGTTTCGCAGCCCCGCCGGCGGTTGCGAAAGAATTATTATATTGCCCTCGATTTTGGCGTTTGTTACGGCGCTGGCAACAATGGGGGGCGTAAAAAGCTTAATTCGCTCGTAAAAACCGGGCACTGAACGTTTATAAAAGCACAATTTGAGATTTAACCGCCTCGGCCGTCACCTGAATTGCAGACTATGTAAATTTCGCATTTTATCTCTGAATCCCGCCGTGGAAAATTATCTCCATTAAACATGGAAGGAGTTTCTGGACTTTCATTGAATTAAACGGCGGAAAATTTTGCTAAATTTAAATACAAATTCGTTATCTACATTTGCTATCATAAAATAATAATAGAGCAGCTATGGTTTTCCCACGTTAACTGAATCGTTAATTTTTTTACAAGACAGCAAATTTGGTTTCATTTGAAAAACTGAAAACTGCGATAACTCGGCTTCTTGAGCTGCAACAATATTTCAGGCATCAAAATGACCGTCTCAATGTCTTCTTTTGAACCATGTGTCACATGTGATGGGAAGAAATTAGCAAGGTCAAAGGTCATAGGGGTCAGTGACCTTTTGTGACCTGGTCGCTAAGTGTGACACATATTCGGATATGTCGTGTCAAGAGAAACATTTTTTGTATTAAAGCCTAATGAGCTATCCCGCTCATGAACAAATTTACGGTGGCTTAAACATTACTAAAAGCTCAGAAAACCACGTTTTTGCTTTTTCAATTTTTGTATTAAAAAAATGAGAAATATACTCATTTATTGAATTATTTCGATTTACGTAAAATTTCACGCTCTACAAAATAGCCATCTCAGAATTCAAAACAAAGTGCCGGTTAATTACCAAATTTGAGGTCACAGGTCACCAGAAGTGACATAGACCTGTGATCTATGATTTTGTGTCTCAAAGAACAGTTTTTGAGGGCAAAGAGACGATTAAAACCTCTTGGCAAGCTAAAATTTAATTTTCAATAGTTCATGTGGACAAACTATATACCCTGCTGGCATAAATAAATAAAGTAACTAGAAAAAAGTTACAATTCTTCTTAAACTTACAATTTAGTTTGATTTTGGGTGTGTAGCGATCTCGGTGGCAAATTTGTTGTTTCTGTGTAAAAATGCTGTTGATTTCTTGTCACGTTGATTAGATAAGCGTTGGCAGCTACAAACGGTGTGTTTGTTCTGCAACGCGATGGAATCGTTACTCTTTATTGTAAATATCCAAATTTTACCAAATTTTAATCTTAATTCTTTAAATTTTACCATTTTTTTGTATAATCAATTGCAAAATGAAACAGATTGAAAACGTATAGAATTTTTCTCAACTAAACCGGTTTATTTCCAGGCATCGACGAACAATAAATTCATTTAATTCTTTATAAAATCTCTATGAAATGTGTGATTTTACACAGAACCCTGTGCATTATTTCCAAGTCGAAAGAGACGCTCTATCTAATCAACGGGAGGCAATTTGCGCGCGAATGAGTGCAAAAGCGTGGTGACGCCGCGCATCGATCTGTCCATTCAATTTAAAGTAGAAAGTAGAGTCCAATTAGTGTTTATTTGCTCCTTCTAATTGAGAGTTGTTGAGGCAATTTTCCAGCGACTCTTTTAGTAAATGGAACATTTTCCTTTTGTCTCAGAAAAGAAAACGACTCGCGGGCACGCGCAATTTAGAGGGAGCCGCGATAACCTGCCGAGGTCATTCAAAAACGCGGTGAAAAATTTACAGCCTGATAAAATCTCACTCTTGTTTATTTTTCGTCGCCGGTTGCCAAGCCAAGTCGCCCGAGGAAGGAGTCAAAAATTAAGAATTTATTTCTGAAAAAAAAATATTGCAGAGGGATCCTTTTTAATTTAGATTATTTTAGAATAAAAATACAATCTTTTTTGTTTTGTTCAATATTTGATTTTGTTCCATCAAAAATATTTTATTATATAAGTAAAACGTTAAATTTTCAGCAAATAAAATTTTTCAATTATTAACTGCACTTTGAAAACTTCAATAACAAAATTTTTAAAATTGTTGAAGCCGAAGATTTAAAAAAAATTATTATTTTAATTCAATACCAATTCTTTATCTACAACTTATAAATAAGTTCATATCTTTGCTTTAATGGGAGATTATAAAAATTGTTAGAAATATAAACAGAAAGCATTGCTTGCCAAAAAAAAAAATGATTCCATCCTCTCTTTTTAAGACCTTCAAACTATTCAAAATTTAGTCTCCCTCTCTTTATTGTGTAAATAAATTGCTACAAAATTTTCCCCCGTCGGTTATGCAGGCCCGGCCGGCTTGCCTCGGAGCACGCTTGCTTTAAATCTCTGGCAGACCAGTTGCTTGATTAAAAAGCGGAAGACAACGTCGTTAGACGGCGGCGCTGGAAAATCGATCGATAAATCAATAGCAAAAACGGAACCCGCAGCCGCACATTCGCCCCTTTCCGACGGCGCCCATTCATGAAAAGGACAATTGCGCTCTCACGATGCTCGCTCCGTTTCAAGTTCAAATTTCATTCAAGGGATAATAATTTAATTTTTTATTAGTTAAAAAAAAAATCAAATAAAAAAATTGTCACTTTGAGCAATACAAAAAAAACAAGGGTTGAACTTCCACTTGATTTGAAACGTGAAAGTCAAAGCACAGGTCAGTTGGTGGATTACTTAAGCTCAGGTGAAAAGTGCACGGAAAAGTCACAAACTTTCCCGGAAAAAGGAATTGCAGTTTTAAATTAAAAATTGAATATCTCGGGTTCTATTTGAGATACAAAAATGCAGCTTGAACCAAAAATTTTCTTTTTACCTTCTCTTAGACCCTGAGTGGTCCAATAATTCAGAGGTCAAAGTTCAAGGTCTTTTTTTTAGAGGTCACAGGTACAAATAAATATTCCATCTTTGATTGGGCGGAAATTTTTAATCTTTATGTAGGAACAACATATTTTAAAAATTCAGAATTTTCCTTAGATATTTTATAGAAAAAAAAAAACACAATTATAAAGTTGAAACTTCAGTTGCGATTTTCAAGTTCAAGAAAAATCAATTGAAATGAATTAAATCATCTCTTGCTTTCACGATTATTTTCCCTCTTGAGTTCTCGTTTTAGCTTAGATTATTTGCTCTACAGATTAACACTTAAAAAATATTTATTCTGCTTCTTGACCTCTCTAATATTTACACTCTAGTCTTTGTCAAAAACAACTGCGCCTTTCCAAAGTTTACTCATTTTAATATCAGTCCAAACTTGCTTGAAACAATGTCAAATGTCGTTTGATATTCTACGCGCCGTGCAGAGGTGTCACGATCCAATTTGCAAATTGCAAAGTTCGCTCGCTTGCAAGTAAAACGAGCTCGCTGCAGCCAAACTCACTCGGCGTGTGCAGTGTGTCTGGGGTTTCTTCGCAGACACCTGACAAGGGAAGCCTTGGAGAAATATCTAAGTGGATAAGGAGCTGTTGCTGGGCCTCCCTCGTGCACTTTATTATCGTGTGCATAACTTAATGACTCTTGCAAAACGTAGCGAAACTTTTGCGCAGCGGAAAAAGAGAAATATTTTGTTGATTAAAATAATACATGATATGTTCATCTTGAATTAGGTGAAAGTATTAAAAGTTAAAGTTAAGTGATTCTAGGAATTAATTTTTATTTAGCCCATTTTAGTCTTCATTTCCTCAACTTTTCACTGCCCTAATTTAAATTTAAAAAAAAAAACTAAGATATCGGTCAGGTTAAAATAGTATTTTTATTTTTTTCTCTTGTTTGATTAAAAAAAAATGATATTAATTTCCTGCCCTGTCCTAAATAACCTGTTCAAAAGTTGACCAAAATCTTGTTCTTGTGTTTCAGTGTGCGGTGATATTCACGGCCAATTTTACGACCTTATGAAGTTATTTGAAGTCGGAGGTCCTCCCGCCATGACCAAGTACCTTTTCCTTGGCGACTACGTGGATAGAGGATACTTTAGTATAGAGGTGAGACTCTGTTTTTATTTCATACTGAATTTTTAACCAATTTCTGTCTCTATCTTTGCAGTGCGTTCTCTACTTATGGGCACTGAAAATATGTTATCCCACGACGTTGTTTTTGTTACGAGGGAATCACGAGTGTAGGCATCTCACAGAATACTTCACCTTTAAGCAAGAATGTAAGTGAATCTTTTTTAATTTTAAAATTTTATTTACTTTTTTGTGCTCAGGTAAAATCAAATACTCTGAGCGAGTGTACGACGCGTGTATGGACGCCTTCGACTGCCTGCCGCTTGCGGCCCTCATGAACCAGCAGTTCCTCTGCGTGCACGGCGGCCTCTCGCCAGAGATTCACAACTTAGATGACGTTAGAAAGGTCAGTTGTTTTTGCTTCAGGTCGATTTGATTTTCCTTAAATTTAAGACGGATTTTACGACACATTTATTTGCAAAAACTTTGTTTTGTGGAAAACGTAAATTTACTAATTTTTAAGTAGAATTTAAAAAGAAAGCAGAATTGGCTCAAACACAGCTTCTATTTAATTGATGGAAACTACTCCATGTATCTAAATAAACGAGTTTTATTAATTTGTGTTGATTTTGAACCCTTTTTTGACATGGTCAAATCTCGTCTTTAAATCAATTGTGGTTGAAATATCCACTAAATGCCAGAAATTTCTCCTATTATGTTATAAAGACTTGATTTTTTGACTATACCCATTAGGAGTCCTTAATTTTTATAATGATTTTTATTTAATTACTGCAAAATTTGTAAAATAAAATATATTGAGGTTTTTCTTAATTTTGAATTTTATAAATTTTATTCTTGATCAACATATTAAATTTCCAGAACTTTCAAATTAATTACTTTTGATGAATCTCAATTTTAGTAATAATAAATAGCAGCAAGATATCAAATAATCTTCATAATATTTTTGCAAATAAAAAAGTAGAGGTAAATCCGCCCTTTCTTGAGCAACAATAAATGGCCGACTTTTGCCCTTTTGCTTGGTGTGTGGATGAAAGTTTGCCACACATAATGCTTGGGCTGGACTCTTTGCGCTCGGCTTTGCTCTTTGCTGGTGGGGGCGGGATCAGCTGCTGAGTGGCAGCAAGTGACGTCACTTCTCGGTGTCTTGTTTTTGTGACGTCATGTGTTGATAAAGTAATGGATCAAATCAACAATTACACCCGCCGCTGTCATCGCTATTTTGACGTCATATCGTAAGCAAAAGAAATAGCCGCGCCAATTATTATATCAGAGAGACCCGGCCGCGTGATTGATCCGCTTACCTGAGCCACCCCTATCGCTACAGCACCTCTCGCCAAATTTTTCTGATTCTGATTATGAGCCTGATGAATCGATACATGTGAATTCTACACACAAGATTATATATATTTCATTAAATTAGAATTTTATGATAATTTTTAATAATTTAGTTAACAATTTAAATTTATTTATGATTTTTTTCCAAATAAAACTTGTAAGAAGTGCTATAATAATTGTTCTCCACAAATCTGCAAATTTATTAATTGAAATTGTCTTTATTTCATGCATGAATTTAATTGTAAAAAAGAAATAATAATAAATTGTAAAGAAAGTTTACAAAAATCTGAATTATCTAAAAAAGTTTCAGTTAACATTTTTCTCTGTTTAAATTCCGCAAATTCCTCTTTAATTTGTAAGGCACCAATAAACCAAACAGAACATTTATTAATGATAACATAAATTGTAAACTCAACCTGTTTGATCCAAAGATAAAAAAAAAAAACTAAATTTTGTAAAAAAAAAAATTAATCTTCATAAAATCGCCAACTCGAAGATCTCTTTCCGATTAATATGGAAATCCGTGCAAGGAAACGGTCTCATGCAATTTGGAGAAAAAGGCGTCGAAAGCACGATAGGGGCGTTGTCCTCCTAAATTAGCGCATAAACAGGGTGTAATCGTCCGGTCGCTCTCGATAGCATCACTTTTCCCGATTTCCCGTGCTAATTTGCGTAAAAGCCTGGCGGTCGAGAGAGAGAAAAGTGCGGCCGAGGGGTGCATTAATTGACCGGCTCATCTAGAAATAATTTAATAGAAACTCTCTGCCGACCCTTTCCTCTTCGCCAAATTCAATTTCAAATTAATTTTTGATTGATGAATAAAATTAATAAAAAAATTCACTCAAATAAAACTGAATTTAAAAGCGTCAGAAAGATTATTCTTTATTTTATTTTAAAAAATTTAAATTTACCCACTTTTTATTTATATAATTAATTAGATTATACTATTATTTGAGATAGACATTTAATTATTTTTATTTTTTATGTAAATTTCTCATAACAAGATTGTTAAAGAATCTTTCCTCTTTGGCTTGGAATTTGTGGAATCCTCTTTCTCGTGCACACTTCAAAGGAAGCATCGTCGACATTCCGTCGCTCTCGAAATTTCGCTCCCTGTCAAAATCCAGTGGAAATTCGGAGGAAATCTCTCGGCGGCTCGGAAAGCTCGCCCAATGAACGAACGAATGAGAACGGCCTGTATCATTGATCCGTCCACGCTCGCGCGCTCCCAACCCGTTCGCCCCAGAATATTGAGACACTCGCATCCATGCCAGCTCGCGTGCAGCCACGCACTCGAGAATTTCGCCCCAACAGAGAAAGAGAAAGGCACGGAAAAACTTTGCCGCTTTTCGATTTGGTCCGGCATTAATTTTTCTTACTTAAAGATTTTGCTACTAATTTTTCATAACAGAAAAAGTAAAAATAAAAAAATACCAAATCTTTTGAAAATACAATTTTTTTATTTGTACAAATTTGATTACTTAAATATCCTTTTTGTTATTTTCTCAAAAAATTTAAACGCTGCTCTTACAATAATTTAAATTTGTAATTTTTTACATTTTTTGTCTTTATCAATTAAAAATCAATTCCGTATTCATTCCGCAGAGTACCAATAAATAATAAATAATGATGCGTTGAATTTGAAGTTATGCAATCCGCTTGACACGCATGCTAAGTGGATTGCCTAGCCCTGATGCACTTATCGACTGATTTTGTTGTCACGCACAGATTTTGTGCGTAATTTATTACGTATTTTCAGTTCAAAAGGGTCTCTGATATGTATTTTTTCAGAAAGGAATTCAGTTGTTATTTATTTATTATTACAAATCATTACAATTTATTTTAGACAATTTTTGTTTATTTAATTATTCTGCAGAAAACAAAAAATTCAACGTTTATTTTGCTTTTAAATGGAATTTGATATCAGATTGTGTGGTTCCTTGCCAAAATATTGTTTGCCTCTCCGTGTTGATTTTGCATCCTCTCTGGTTTCCCAAAGAACATCAGAAAGCTCTTCTCTGCTGGGAGTCGATTCAATAATTCATCATTTCTAGACCGAAAGGCGCCGCCGGGGTTTTCAACTAAAAGCAGTTTTTAATTATTCATTGTTGCCGCGAGGACCGGCCAAACAAAAATTGTTTGATCAAAACCGCATGCAATCGGCAACCCCTAAACAATGCGGAATTTTTTGCGTTCGGTCGAAAGTTCAAACGGTCGAAGGTCAAAAGGTCACTCATTAGTATTCCGGAGTGGGTGCGAAAAAAAATAGACACGGTCGCCGCCGCCAGGGCTTGTTGATGATAAATTTTTCTGAAAGAAAGAAATAAGGGCGTTTCGCGCATAAAAATCTTGCAATGAAAATGAAGAGGAGAATCGTTTGCTCTTGCAAGCCACTTTGACATTTCCGCCGCCTCGCTAAGGAGCAGCCTGATTAGCTCATTCACTCCCTCTGGCAATTTAATTTTTCTTATACAAGTCGCGTTAATTAGATGTGAAAGAAAGTAATTTTATTTTTAAATAATTGCGTTACTGAACTTCAGAAATGAAATTACTAAAATGTGATTGAGATTCATTTGCCAATTTTGGCTGATTTTTAGACAGTTGATAATGTTTCAAAATTTAAAATTATTACAAATGAAGCCGTTTTTAGGAAAAATGTGATGATTTTAACTTTTTTATTAAAAGTTGAAAAAAATTAATAATAATAATTACATAATTTTCTTATCGATTTTAAATTTTTATTACAGATTACCAATAACAAAGCATTTCTATTTAATTTCAAAACAAGCTTTTTTTTACCTCTGACTAAATTAAATTTCGGTCATCATTTCACTTTATTATATTTTCCTTTAAATAAATCTCGAAACTTCTTCCACCACAGTTTTCTTATTTCACTGTGTAATTAAAAAAGTGAATGTTCAATTTGCAAACCCCTGCACAACTTTGGCAAGGAATTAATCAGGAGAAGAGAATTTTCCCAATACTCAAAGTTTTTCCTGCCTCGTTAAAGTTCCGCGCTGAAAAACCGATAATAAACTTTCATCATCGGATTCTTTTTCGCCGAGAATTTCATCGGAATTTCTATCGGAATAAATATTCACAAGTCTATATAATCTGTTCGTTCTTTTGCAGTTGGATAGATTCAAGGAGCCGCCTGCATTTGGTCCCATGTGTGATCTTCTCTGGTCAGACCCCCTGGAAGACTTCGGCAATGAGAAGAATGCAGAGCACTTCAGTCATAACAGTGTGCGAGGGTGTTCCTACTTCTACAGGTATTTAATCAAAAAAATAATAATGAAAAGCATTCTTGCCGCAAACATTCCTTTTCTTATTCTCGACGCCTGCATTCCCTACTGAGAAGGTCAAAGTCCGTCCGCATTTTAACTTATTGATTTTTCTTCAGTTACGCTGCTTGCTGTGATTTCCTCCAGAACAACAGTCTCCTGTCGATCATAAGAGCGCACGAGGCCCAGGACGCTGGGTAAGTTTTTTTCTCTTAAACTTTTCTTATTAATTAATTCTTTGTTTGCAGGTACCGCATGTACAGGAAGAGTCAAACAACAGGATTCCCATCCTTAATCACGATATTCTCTGCACCCAATTATCTGGATGTGTACAATAACAAAGTGAGCCTTGACATGATTTTTCCATCTTTTAATTGGCAATAACACGGCCGAGCCAATAAGCTGATTTTTCCGCTTCGTCTAACCCCGGAAACGATCTCATTCCTACTTTTTGCAGCAGAGTTACAAATCAATCAACAATCAAAAGAATGCTTTATTAGTTTTGAATAGATTAATTTAAGTTTTATTTGAACTTCCAAAAGAGATATGTGAAAAATTTAAAACAGACCGATTAATTAATTTTGATGGTAATTTTCCTCTACATTTGCATTGGTTTGTAGATGATAAGTATATATCGTTATATATTGATATGTAAATTCCAAGAAGACATCATAAGAAAAATTTAATTCATTGGAGCTAATAAATTTTTGAAATTGATTAGTTTTTTTTACAGGAATTTTCTAAAATATTGTTCTCTGCAAAATTTGCCGGATTAAATTTATTTAAAATTAAAATAAACTGAAATCTTATAGGAAACTGTTTTTATCCAGTGTAGATTTTAAAATATAATTTTAATTTGAGGCCTATCACATTATAATTAAAAATTTTCAGTGAATTATTATTAATTCACGCTGCAATCATCACAAAATATTTTTTTTTTATAACGAAACTTTAAATTTAACTATTTTTTTTTTTACCTTTTCAGGCTGCAGTTTTAAAGTACGAAAACAACGTGATGAACATCAGGCAGTTCAACTGCTCACCTCATCCGTACTGGCTGCCCAACTTCATGGATGTGTTCACGTGGTCGCTGCCGTTCGTTGGCGAGAAAGTGACCGAGATGCTGGTCAACGTGCTCAACATCTGCTCGGACGACGAGCTCATGTCCGACGGCGACGACGCCCTCGAAGAAGGTGAGACTCGAACCAAAACTTGCAATTACAAACATTCCAAAAAAATTAATTACGATATTCGGGTGCATTTGACAGCATTACTGACTTATGTCTGTTCTTTCTCTTTTTATGAACTGTTCATAATACTTGGAGAAGATGGTAAGAAATCGTTTTGGGCCATTCTGACGCTCGGTGTTCGCTCTGACATTCTTGTTTTAATTATTTTCTTTAAAAAAAATATTTATCAAACTCTCAGACTCCTTGTTTTTAATTTCTTCTCGGTAGTTTGGACACTTTTCGCCTTTGTTTCTCACCCACACTGCCTCTAGTATTTTCAAACACAGATTTTTTTTCTGCAAGACACTTTTCTGAAAACACTTTGGTAGTTAGAGGTCGATCTTTTGGGCAGTACATGTTTGTTTTTCAATATATTATACGAGCCGATCGTTTTTAGCCTATTATTTGGACACACACCTCCTTTTCTCTGATTTGCACCAGTCGAGCTGATATGAAAACAATTTAAATAAAGAGCACCCATTATATATTAAAATTAAATAAATCCTTCTATAATTTATCTTGACTCTGTTTCTATCTATAAATCTCTATTTTGCGCATATTGGACCCTGTACTTCTTCTATGACTACAATGCACTCATTGCGTCAAATCACAGGGAAACTTTTTGTACCTAAGACTGGTAAGTCGAAGCCAAGGAAAGATTACATTCTTAATCAGACGGATTTTTATAATTGCGTAATTTTGATTGGTTGGTTTTTTTCTCACCTTGATTGATTAATTAATTCCTTCTGATGTTTTCGTTCATTTCCGGATTCATTTTACTTTAATTCCTTGATATTTTTGGTTGCCATCAAAATTTGTTATATATTTATAAAAATAATTAATCCCCTAGACCTGTGAGTACCTCACTAATTAAATAAAGAGCAGTTTTTATCCTAAATATATAACAACTCGAAGAAGGTTTTGCGAGTGTGATTTGGGCATTCCAACTTAACTCTCTCACCATTTCACAGTTAGAGCACCCCGTCTCCATCCCTCATCTTTTCAATTTTGCATAAAAAAAAAATACATAAAATAAGAAAAGTTGCACTAAGGAAAGTAGTCGCTTTTCTATTTAACTCGATTTTGATGGTTTTGTTGATCATTAATAGCGCATATTTTATGATTTTGCATTTTATGTCCCTGATTTGTTTTAGATTTTGCGATCAAATTGGTCTTCTTTTTTAATAAAAACCCTAAATGAAATTTAAATGAAAACCCAATTCGTTACATTTTTCCTTTAAACTTTTGTTTGCTTCCTAGTCTGAATAAATAATTTTGCCTTTCACTACTTTCCTTGGTACTTTGATCAGAGTCTTTGGAGCAGAAAAGGACGTGTGTTGCTGACTTTCAGTTGGACCCCCGTGTCTCTCTCACAGTCAGACTCGTTTATTTATCTCAATTTACTTTTATGTACTCTTTTTAACTGACCTTTCACCACTTTTATAGCTGCACTTTTTCCACACTTGTTGAATTTTGAACCCGTAATTTTCTTCATTTTCGAATCAACTTCTGGATTCGCGCTGACCACATTATTTCTGTTACTTTCTTTCTTCTTCTCCTTTCGTTTTCACGCTGTTCATTTTGCAGTTTGTTGGTTCTGCTCATTTGATTAACCAACTTGGTTGATATATTGACAATTACTTAACTTTTGTTCCTCACAAATATGCATGAATTTTGCCGAATTTCTCGTTCGGCTGAAAGAGTGTGTTGGTTTATTTTCCAATGCACACGACTTTTTTCAGCTAGACTTAAAAAAAGATATATTTTTAATATTATACATCGATCGTACCTTTGATGAACATGTCATTTATTCTTTCTGTTTGTTTCTTTTTCATTCCTTATTGCGTCTATGACTCTCAACACATTATTGCTGACGATGTCCACGACCTACCTCAATTTGTGCGGGGGTGAGTTCCATCATTATTACACTGTATAGTGAATCATCTTTCTATGATCTACGTACCGAGCAAATCAGTGGCCAGCTCGCAGTCTGATTCTAGTCTCAATAGTCTCATTTCACTTTGGTGGTGGTTGTACAAAAAAAAAATGCTCATCTGTAGAACCCGCTAGAACGTCAAAAGTCTGCTTTTTGTCAAAACCTCTTGTTGGACACTCATTATTATTTTATATGCAAGACAATTTCAGATTTCTCTCAGTTAAATGTGCTGAAATTGTCTCTTAAGCAACTCTAGGTGTGCACTTAAAAAAGCAAAATTTAGAGTTTATTTGATAAATCTGTGTTTCCTCCCTAAATAATTCAAAATTATTAGAGCTGGCCCGGCGTAAATCATTTTCTCTTCATTTTAGATGAGTGAAAATTAGTTGAAATGTTTCTGTATAGTCACAAGATTCTTTTTGTTGGGCGCCACTCCGATTTTACAAAATTATTTTTACGTTTAATTAAAAAGAAACTGAATCGCAGTGGCGCCAATCAATCAATTGAAAACCAATGAAGTGTCTCTCTGTGTTGGTGAACGTGGACTACTCGATGTTAGGTGTCAGCGTATTTATTTTATTTTTATTCATTTCTTTATTTTTATATGAACAAAAAACTCTAGAGCAAGCACGTGCTTTTTGAGAAAGCGTTTCATAGTTTCATTTCACGTTCATAGAAGTATTTTCATCAATTATTCATTTTCAAAAGCAAATTTAGATTTAAAAAAAGTCCTCTCTGATTCAGGTAGTATTTCCAGAACATTTCAAATTTACTCCATTTTTTATGCATGTCTTCGCTAACGCTGCTTGCTTTTTATTGAATTTGCATGCTTGGACTTGCCACTCATCAAAGTACTCACCAATTTGAAATTCCTTCCGGAGATGAAAAACTGCTCAATTAAAAATAGAAAGTTTTAGAAACAAAGCTTTTTTTCTTCTCCGTGAAGAGAGATGATTGAAGATGTTGACAGCATGACTAAATTTCCTATTTTTCTCGGCCAGGTGCAGCAGCCAACTTGCGTAAGGAGGTAATTCGCAACAAAATCCGCGCCATTGGGAAGATGGCTCGTGTCTTCTCCGTGCTGAGGTGATTTGATAACAAACAAACAAAAAAAACGAATCTTTTTATACTTATTTTTGTTTGAATTCGCAGAGAGGAAAGCGAGAGTGTGCTGCAACTCAAGGGTCTCACTCCGACCGGTGCTCTGCCACTGGGTGCCCTCTCTGGAGGCAAGACTTCCCTCAAAAATGGTAATTGTCACGTTTTCCTATGATAATATGCACACATTTAAAAATTTACCTGAAATTTACAAATTATTTTCCCAATAAAAAATGGATATATGTGTATTAATAAATTTTTAAGAGACGGTTTTTTTCTTTAAAATTTTATTTAATTCCAATATAGTGAATTTTGAAAATATCGGAAAATATTACAAATTTCAAATGCAATTTTTTTCCTGCAGCGCTTCAAGGATTCTCACCAAACCACAAAATCACCTCATTTGAAGAGGCCAAGGGCCTGGATGCCATCAATGAACGCATGCCCCCACGCAAAGATGCGCCCTCTCCGGTAACGTCGGACGATTCGAAATCGGCGACCGGAAGTGCCAGCAACGCCCACTCATGAGCCAACTAAGCGCCATTCAAAGGTGCTTATTGTTTTCTAATATTTAAAAGTCTCTTCCTAAATTATGGAAAATAAACTATTCAAAGTAAAAAAGTCAAAATCAAATCAATGAAAATAAATTAAGCATATTTTCAAAGGAAATTAGTTTATTCCAATTCTTATTGCATTGAAATCCTTCAAATAATTAGACTTACAAATTTTATTAAAAAGAAACTTCCAAGTTCTATTACTTTAAGTTATTTATTTATTTTCAATTTTGAATTTTTATTTTTGGAAAAATAATGTATGTATTAAATATTTTGAATAATTTTCAGGGGCTCTGCAGGCAGCGCGTCCTCCTCCTTCTCTCCTTCTAATAGCCAAAGGTCATTGTCACGAGTTCTACCAGCTGCTTAACGGAGGATCAAGAAAGAAGCAATGCTCTGTATCTCTCTCTCTCTTTTCCCTTTCAATCTCTCTCTCTATCTCTAAATCACCAAACTACCCCCAATTATATACTCTCTATCTACGCACCCACCACTTCTTTTCGAGGACAATTCCCCTAGTTGAGCTACTCGTACTCCGCTGTGTATGAAACGAGAATATTTCCACATGCCTTTGTTTGCGCCTACGACTAATTCGAAGGAATATTTATTACTTAATTGCGAGACAAGAAAAAAAAATAATGAAATACTATTGAATATTTCTATTCTGTATCGAGCGGCAGACTCGCTCTGTAAGTATGTACTTACTCAATTACGTTGTGTATCTTAAGTGGAGAATCGGACACAAATGTTGGTTCTGCCAAGTGTGGAAAAAAGCGCCAAACTTGGCAGAACTCGCCTTTTACGTGTGAGTGAGCTTTAAGAGAGAAATTTCTTATTCTTTCGAAGAAGGATCACGATGAGTCTGTCTGAGCTTTTTCTTTATTGATTCTCTCGGATGATTTCACATAATCCTGTCGGTTTTTTTTTTTATAGTTTTGTTGTTTCAATTACGCAGATGGACTCGAGAAAAGAAAGTGATTATTCTTAAAATGTTAAAGTTAAGAGTTGGTTATTAAGTTAATGCTATATTTTACGGTTATCATTTGTTATAGTATTTTCCTCTCGTTTTTTTTTCTTCTTCCTTTGTTAATTTATTTTTACGTTTGTTGTCTTGTAAGTGTTTGATCCAGACACATTGCCATCACATTAATTAAATAATAGACGAGTTCAATAAGTAAATTAATGAATAAAATATCGTCCCTCCTTCAAAGTAAAATTACGAAAAAGAAAATCAATATTGAATGTTATATCATCTTAAATTAATTATTATTACTCAGATTGCTGCGAGAGGATGTTTGCGTGTGAATTCTTCTTGTCTGTGTACACAAACAAACAAACAAACACGGTTTTCAGTATTTCTTCCCCATTCTAGTGCGAATAACATAATTATTAATTGTGTCAGTGCAAATGCGATTTTATTCAGCATAAGGCGGTTTATATGTGTTTCAAGTTCTGATTACACCGCGCGCAGTGTGAAAGCAAAATTCTTAACCCTGCACCCAGATAAAAGTTTAAACAAAACAAAAAATACGCAAATGGAATAACAGAGAACTTCTTTTACTAGCTTGTGTATTTACAAAATAAGAAATATAATGATGGTAATTTTTCTATTTATGTAAATGGTGTGTCCATAAAAGTTATATAACTACGCATTATACAAAAAGGAGTAAATAATTATAAAATAATCGAAATAAGGTTTCTCGAGAAAGTCACTTTTTCCTTCAAATGATAACCACACGCCCGCAAAAAAAAAAATTAATAAATCCAGAACAGTAGTAGTGGATTCACACAAAGATTTGAGAATAAAAAGTGAACTCGGTTGAGACGAAGAGTGGAAATTTTAGTAACTCTGGTTTCCGATACTCGGTAGGCTTAAAAAGTCTTTTTGATGGGGAGGATTTTCACAAATCAAATTTCGCTGCTCGTCAGTCCCCCGGACGAGCGAACTGCTGCTTTGTTGGTGTTGAAAAGAATTAAATATACGCTAAGTGAAGCAAAAAAAATATATATATAAGAAGTAAAAAATCTCTGCTTGTTTCATGCTGCTGCCTGGGGATGTTATTTTCTACTGAAAACTATCTGAGATAAAATTTAATAATATTATATTTCACTCGCGCCGTTGGCCCCCGAGCAGTTCTGTGTTAAGGCGCCGCCGCTTTCTGATAATTACGGCCGAAGCTGTGAAAAAATGAAAATAGCATTTGAAGCTTACGTGCGGCCTGGGAAAAAACCAATCTGCTCTTCGGGGGCGGTGCTGAAGGGTTAAATGTGTGCATGTTCTTGCCATTCTGTCTGCATTCTCTAATATATAAATATGAAGAAAAAAAAATGAAACACAATACAATTATATTTCTTACACTTTCACTCGCGCGTGTATGTTAATAAAAATAATTAATATGTAATAATTAATTATCATTTTGTACACTGCTCTGATTTGTATCTAGTTGTTAGTGATTAAAAGACAAAACTTGTTTGATGCCATCTCCAAGTCTATTTATAATCGTGTTCGCGCTGATGAAAAAAAAAGAATAAGAAAATTAAAAGTAACAAAACATCTCTAGCCTTTATATCAAAAGTCATAATTATACATAATAAATATAATGAATGAAAAACCAGATACAATTATGCAAGAAAAGATTGTATAAATTAATTAATTCTGCCGATTATGTATATCTTTTTAGTGACTAAGGCAACCATTGTTTGTTAGTTTGTTGTTTGTTTTACTGTTTTGTAAATAGCGCCCCTCAAACCCCCTGTGTTCCTTTCCTCTTCGCCGGCCCCACTTTATTTTAGAGACTTTAATAATAATAATATGCAAAGAAAGATGTGAGAGCTCTGTAAGCTTTGTTGAAAATACAAAACTACCGCCAATTACCCAAAGAAATATTGCAAATCCATTATTAAAAAGAACTCCATGCATATAAATATTATGGTTGAAAAATAATTACTATAATTACACCCTTGGGAGTGTGCGATTGAAATATGGAAATTTCCACGCCATGACAAATTAAAACTGCTGTAATATTAAAAATAAAAATCTCTGCCAGTTTCGTGTCCTGCTATATAAGATGAGAAAAGTTTCATATAATAATCAAGATCCCCTCTTTGCCTCACAATGCCTTAATACACTTTGAACTTACTATCTCTTAAATGCACCAAGTTTGTTTTTTCTATAATGAATCGGAACATTTGATGAATAAGAAAGGCTCCGCAAAGCCGAAATATGTGTCAAAAAAATATTTACATTTTATAGTGCACAGAGACATACTCGATGTTGCTGGTTTGTTTGACAAATAAACACACACAAGCTGTTAAAAGACAAGAAAATAAGTGCGCACTTGATTATTATCTCATTGATCAGTCAACTTTTTTCGTTTTTCTTTTCCTCCCCAACTAGCAAGTGATTTTTGAAAGGGCATCCATCGTTCGCCCTTTTTGGAAAGTACATTATTATATAATAATGCGTCCTTGTCTTTTTACTCAAGAATTATATCAAAAATGGGAAAATAACTTAAAGATGAAATTGAATAAAACAAAATGTCTACGCTGAGCTGTATAAAGTTTAAACAAAAAGATAATATTAAAAAAGCTTATCCTTCCTTTTCTTCTCTCCTGCGGAAAAGCTAAATTCTCCGGCACTTTTTGATTTGTCACTTCAAACTTCTCAATACATAACCAGTGGTAAAATATATAAAGTGCATATATAATTGTGTAAAATGCAACACACTCGACACGCATCATTATTATTATAATTATATTAAGATCCCCATTTGTTGTGAATGTTTCATGAAATTTGTTTAAAAGGATAAGATACAATTCTAAAAAATAAATAAAAAAAATACACATTGATTTCCAATTACATTTGTTTAATTCAATTTCCGAATGTTTTGTGTGTGTTTGAAAAGAATGAAAATTTTCTATAGATTACTCTTTATTTTTATTCATCAAAAATCTGCTTAAACAATCGATTCATAGAACTATCAAATAGACACATTTTTTTATTATCATTGATTTATACAAGTTCATTCTAAAAATAAAATTCTCTGATGTGCTCATGAGTAACGAATGCAGATATATATTTTAAACTTCTGCCCTTATAAACTCTGGAAATTGTTAGTCACATGTGTTGAATCTACTTTAAGTACATCTAGCAAAAGATTAATTCAAAATGCGGCAGAGTTTTGAGCACTCTTGATTATTTTTGGACTAAATCAACTGGTCTGATGCAAAAGACGGGAGGCCTGCGTTCTTAAATTACATAAGTCGTATTGAAACTGGAATTGTGCACCGTGATTAAACTTACTTAAATGGAACTCTATTCGTTACCTCTTATCACACTTGGTATGTTCAACGACCCTCCTACTTTAGCGATTTGATTTCATCCCAGCAGATCTACAAATTAATTCTGAAAATAATCTTACGACGCCGCTCGAAATCACAAGATTTCCAGAAAGGATCACATTCTGGAGCCAGCCGATTGTGAATCACTCGTTGTGCACTCGATCCGAACACTCTCCCACACATTTAAGTTAATTAACAGCGTAATTAAATGCATCTTGGTGCAGGCCTCCCCGGCTGAGGTATAAGCAGGAGACTTAAAGACTGAAATAACTAACTGTCTTATCAATTTGTTATGATTAAATCTACAAACATATCGACTTTGAAAATTGATGTTAGGAAGATTAACTAAATTTAATTAAGGAAGCACTGATTGCGAAACTTCCAAAAGATCGCAAAAAAAATCTGGCACGTAACGATGAGCAAATTTTTTAGAAAATGTAAATTTCGAATCATTTTCTTCTTAATAAGAATATTGTAAAAAATGTTTGCATTTTCTTAATTAGAAATTTGGCCGAAAACTCTCTGATTTGCACCTGATGTAACAACTTTCAAAAATGCTCTAAAAAGATTTACAAAGTTCAAAAAATAATAATCACAAAAACGTTCGTTCCGGGCGGCTCTGCACATAAATTCCTATAAAAATAGCTTTCGGCCCGGAACCACTTGATGAAGTCAGACGTCGAGGTTGATGTCCTCGACGTCGGTCGGGGTGGTGCACGTGGCCAGCTTGTCCGTCTGACTGACTCTTGAGGTAAACAGCTGCACCAGAAGCAGGATCTCCTCTGGCTGGTGGTGGGTGAGGTGGCACACCTGCCGAAGGGCGCGACGCTTCTCCTCGGGGCCGTTCAGTCTCTCGATGGCGGCCACGATGGCACCCGAGCCTATCACCGATGGCTTCATTTGAATCGAGGCAGCGTCTGGAATAATTCATCAAAATTAGACAAATCTAATTTAATTCGTTCTTGTAAAATGGAATAGAAAAAAAATTATTAATTAAAAAAAGCAAATCAGTGAAAAATAAATAAGTAATGAAAAGGGAATTTTGATTGATTAATAAAAGAGGAATTAAATTTATGAAAGAAAAAACTCTTGAGCCTGAAAACTTGTTTTCAAGGCCGGCTGCTCACCTGTGCTGCAAATCTGCACAATGGCGTGTGCATGCTTTCTGATGGTGTTGCTGATCCCACGGGGCACCGTCATCCTAGCCAGAATGTGCTCGAGAAAGTCCGCCGCGGTCAGAAATGAGGTTTTCCACTGCAGGGTGGACAGGATTATGATCTCGGCCAGCTGAAATCAAAATTTGCTAATTAATTCATCAGAAGAGATGCGAGATTTTAGCATAAAAGACATTCAATTATCATATCTGAAAAGAAAAATAAAAAAATATGGTTAATCACCAACTTATAATGAACTGTAAAATTTAAGTTAATAAATATTGGGAAAAAGATGCATTAATTTTCAACAACCAAAACAATTCAATTTTAAATTTAAATAATTTTTTTAAATAATGTTTAATTTTTTAAGCAAACTGCAAATTTGCAAAAAAAAAAAAAAATAATAATAATAAATTTAATGCTGATGAAAATTCAATTCCTTTACTTTTATATTTTAAAATATTTTCATGCCGTTTCAAGATGAATTAGAAAATAATGACCTTAATTATTTTTGATATTATGAAAAAAAAATCGTTCTTTAATTTTTAAATAAAAATTAATTTTGATTTTAAAGAAAAAAAATTAACAATTAATATAAAGATGTTTTTTCTTATTTTATTAGAATTAGTTAGAAGATGTCGTTTTCAAGGACATTTTATCGGGCAAAAATGTTATGTAATTTTAAAAAATTAATTAAATTTTTCAATTCGAAATTAGCCAAAATAAAATTGTCAAAATTTCCATCAAACCGACCAAGTTGGCTAAATAAAATGACTTAAAATTTACAACTTTTCTCTCCATCCATGTTTTCATTCCAAAAAAAAATGAAAAATAAAAAATGATAAAATGAGGGCAACGATTTCCGCACGTGTGGCGCCGATTAATTTTTGCTGATTTCGGGGAGCGGCTTTGGCCGTTCGTGCTGGCTTTGGTTTTGCTTGCCCCAGCGCTGCGGTCTCTAATTTCAACGCTTGGATATTTCATTCTCAGGTTGCACCGGCCTTTGTAGTGTGCGCGGCGAATCTAGTTTTCTTTGGGCAGAGGGAACGCGCAATGTGTGTTACTAGGGTGGCGTCGCCGTCAAATGTGCAAGCGTCCGATCCATCCCATGGGTTGGGCAGCTCAAATCAGGTTCCTTGGCTTTATCCGCCTCCGACCTTGAGCCCAAATAACTCGCAATCGGCTCAACAAGAGTTTAAAACTAGCGACAGAGACGCTTCGCGATTCTTCCCCACTAACATGCAAATTGCAAAAAATAATTTGGACTGACACATCATGCAGATAGATCCAAATTTATATATATAAAATAGAAATGGATATTTTTAGTCAAATTGATGAAGAATTTGTTCAAAAATTTATTGTTTTAAAATGAAATTATCTGTAATAAAAGTATTGGTAAAGAAATTTTTATTTAAAATAAATAAATACTTATTTATAGTTCAATTTTTTATACTAAAAAAAAGTATGTATAATTAATAATCATCTATTGAAAATGTTTGTTTAAAACTTTTTAAAATTTTAGCCATTAATACTGAATAAAAATCACTTTCTTTTTCAAAGTTTTGAAATAATTTATAAAATTATAAGTTTCATAATCTCATTGATTATTTTTCTTTTTGAATTTATCCTCCCTATTTTGACTTTTCCTTGCTTGCGAAATGCATCATCATTGGAACTCACATTGACGGCTCTGGTGTTGAAGCTGTGGTCTGAGTAGAAGGAGCATTGCTTGGTGGAAATGATCTTGGTGCTCCTGAGCTTGGAGGCGATGTGCATGCAAGTGGCGCCGAGCAGCTGCAGCTGGTCGATCTGCATGGTGATGCTGGCCAAAGTCATGTCCAGAAGCTTCACGGCCAGTGGAAACACGTGCGTGTCGCAGCTCAAATCGTCACACACCTGCAAAATCAAAAATGAAAATAAATTAAAATGAAAACTAAAATAAATTCATTTAGGAAATTCTTAGCCTTTCAAATCATTCGATTTAAATAATTTAATAAAAATAGTTGAATACAAAATGTGAAAAATTAAAATTCAATAAATACACTGATAAAAAATTAAAAAGTTTGAATAATTTCAAATTCAATACAAACACTGATAAAATAAATAAAATTTGGAAAAATTCAAATAATATTTTGGGGTTTTACAGTTTCAAAGTTGAAGATTAAAAGCAATTAATTTTTATTTATAAATTTTAGAACTTTACAAATTTCAAATTAATGAAGTTATTTAAATATTTACATCACATTAAAGTTCGTTTCTCTCCTCTGTGAGGAGAAAAACTCATTAATTCTCAAGTAATAAACCTATCTTATCTTTCAACGTGTGAGGCTCGATGGGGGAGATTCCATAAAATTTTATTGTCGAAACAAACAAGAATTAAAATATTCTCCTCAATTCACGAAAATTTAAAAGTCTCCTGAAATATTCTATGGAGTGCAGCAGGTAGGCAAAAAAAAACATTCAGCGGTGGGGAGACTTGAATGCATGGGGATGAGGGTGCATTGTTGGCTGGCGTCGGGCGGGGAGGTCGGGGGGTGCAACAGGTGGCAACGCCGGCAGGTAGGTGAAAAAAAAAATAAATAAAAATACCACAGAGCACAGATTTTCGACGGGAGGAGGAACAGGTTTGCCATTATATGCGAGGAGAGAAAGAGAGAAATAAAGAAATCCAGCCACGGAACAATAAAAGAGAGAAAGAAAATATAATAAAGACGAAGAAGAAGGGTTGAGATTGTGAATGAGGATGAAAATGTGGAAATATGAAAATTGAATCCAAATGAAAACAGGTTTCGATTTTAAAGGTATTTAAATTTTTAAAAGCCCTGAATTTTTAGTTAAAGATTAAATTAAAATTAAAAAAAAAAAATCAAAATAAAATTGAAAGATGAAAAATTTCACGAGTTTGGAACTAAATTTTGGGACAAATGACCCGTGATTCAAATTTTCAGTTTGAAACTTTTGAGGATAAAGAAGACGTGTGGGGGCCTCGGGGGGCCCCGGGGGCCGGAAACGGCGAGCCGCCCCCGGGTGGCCTTGCTTGTGAGAAGAGAGGCCCCCACCACCTGATCCGCCATGTCGGAATGCCGAGGAAAGAATTAAGGGAGCCGTGTGGGGTCGCGGGGGCCTTGGTCGGGGGCCGCGGTCGGGGGCAGCGGGGGACGCACCTCCATCATCCACTCGACGATGTCGGCGCGCATGTAGGGCCGAACGTGCGTGTCCTTCTGGGTGGTGGCGAAGTAGTCGGCGGACACGACCGAGGCGGCCTCGTTCGCCAGCATGTTGTCGAGGATGCGGGGGTCGCGGAAGATGACGGGGTCCATGCTGGCCCGCGACTCGGCGATGCTCTCCAGGCACAGCAGGTTGTCGGCCATGGCTCGAGCCTCCTCAGGTGTCAACAGGGCAGCCCAATCTGCATGCCCAACGAGCTTTCACTTGGACTGACACACACAATGGCCAGAGGCTTGACAAAGGAGACTGAAAACTGCTGCTGCCGAAAGTTTGGGCTCGTACCAATCCGTTGCCAACCTGACAAAGTTCAACAAAACCAGAAATAATATTCAAATTCTAATTCAATCAAATTAATTTGACTTAAAATGTTTGTTTTAAAGAAAATTGTATTTATTTTAATTTACAGTACAATTTGTTACAGTTTGAAATTATTTTTATGGAATTTATTTTGGTAAATTTGGTTGGTAGCGTCGAGGTTGCAGACGAATCTCGGTGGAGGATTCTGTGCGGCGCGAAATAGACCGTAAAGATGTGGTAAAATTGGTAATTTACTTGTAATAAAGGCACAATTTGGCACGGAATTAATGTGAGATCATCGAGGAGAGAAACGAACGCTTTCCATGTAGAATTATTCGGATCGATGGCGCCTACCGATGGCAATTATTACTACGTAATTACCAATTTCATGCGTTATTATTTCCACTTTTTGATTTTATTTTTATGATCGCTTCTGTTTCTATCATTATAATGAAGCAATAACCAAGAATTTAATTTTTCAAGCAGTTTTTTTTACTAAAAAATACTTTTACATTATTTTTGACAAGTTCATTTATTTTATCTATTTAACATTGACAAAATTTTGCTATTTCTATTGTTTGCAAATAATTGTTGCATTGTTAATGAAAATAGAACTAATTCCTTTTGATTAAAAAATTAAATTCAACTTAATGCTGTATAAATAAATTAAATAATAAACTAAATAGTTAAAAGAAAAGGAATTTAGCTACTCAAAAATTTCTGTTTTTAATTTGTGAGTGGTTTTTTTTAATTTTTTTTTTTTTTTAGTGTAGATTTGTGTGTCGTATTTTCGTTAATAAGTGTATTCGCCTGGAGTTTCTGTTTTAATTTTTGAAAAGAAAAATTCATTTCCGTAGCATTGCTTTTCTCACAGTTTTCTATCTGCGGATTTGAATAAATGTTATTTTTCTGTTTTTTTTTAATGGCACCTGCAACTGCTCAAACGTAATTGGTGCAGGAATATAATGAAAAAAAAATAATAATAAAAAGCAGAATTTTCCGAAAAAGCTATATAAATATAAAATAAACAATTACAACCGTCGACGAAGAATGCGGCTTGCAGCTCTCCTTTTACAGAACTTTTTTTATTTTAGTATTTTTGCGTTTGTGCAGAATCTGTTGTGTGCAAATAAATGTATAATTATAACCTGCTCGCTTTAGAAAAAAACAAACACCAAGAAGAGAAGTCGTACAAATAAAATATGCGCCCGAGAGAATAACAAAGGCGCTCGGCTCATTTATATGCAATAAACACACAGTGCAGAGTAAAAAAAAGAAGGACAAACGCGTCCGTGCATGGGAATCGAAAATTGATTTATCGTTTTATTGGAGCTGCATTTATATATTATTTTTGTTTCTTTTATTCCGCGCAGATCGAGATGCTGCGGCTTCTGAGATTTGCCGCTGGCTCGGCTTCTCTGCGCCTGCAAGTTCCTTTTTTGTGTCTGCAGTCGACACACACACACGTGTGACGTCACGACCTGCAGAGTCTTCTACCTGAGAGAGCGAGGTCGCGTTAGTTTTAACAACGCGATGACTTTCTCCTTTTAGGTGGGTAGAGAGGAAGCTTGCGACACAAAAGGTGAGCGCAAAAAACAGCTGCCCCTTCGGAAATCGCTGCTCGCCCGCGGGATGGACGCCCATAGACCCTGAGAGACGCTGGAACTTTTAAAAGGTCGGTTTCTTTGTCTGCTTTTCTTGTTCTCGTTCTGCTTTTTGCGTCTCTCTCCGAAGGAATTAAGTGTGAGAACGATTTGCGCTCCCGAGTTAAGATGGAGGCGTGTGGGTGGGTCGACATACCTTACTCTGATGGTCACTTTAAAAACTATATTTGAAAATTGAAAGCTGTTCGCCCAGCAAAGTGCTAATAAGTCAGGAAAATTTACATTTTTAACCGTGAGAAAAAAATTTACAACTTTTTTATGGTCCCTGAGTCGCTGGTTTTCCTCTTTAGTTCCTCAAACTCAAATGATTCAGAAAAGAAAAAACTAGAGTGACAAATATTTATAAATAATTAACACAAACGTTTGATATTTTTAGCAATAATTTTCAAGGTTAATTCTATAGAAATTTCTATTAAATGAGATTTATTGAAATTTTTTTAAATTTTATTTCGGACATTCTTAAACTATAAAACCAGTAAAAACATACAAATTTGCCAGTTCTTGAATTTCTTTTTGCACTTTCAGATGATGCAAAGCAGCAGAAACACGACGCCGCGGCCGCCACCGCGAAGGGGCCCAGGACGCGCCTTCGCCACCTCCGAGGGAGACCAAAGTCCTCGGGCACCTTCAGACAGGACCGTGTCCGAATACATGATTGCGAATGAACGATTAAGTGTCCGCGACCCGCAGCCTTCCACGTCAAGGGGCGGATTCAGGGACAACCAGTCCGACATCTACGCCCAGCATCAAGGCACTTACAAGGCGCCTTCAGAATTCAGGTACTTTGAAAGAGGAAAAAAAGTGCATTTGCTTTTTAAGTTGAAATAATTTAAATTAATAAAAATTTCTTTAAAATATTATAGAATCTGTCAATTCTTTGGAGATATCAATGAACGAATTTCTCTCAAATATTGATTAACTATAATTGTAATGAAAAAATATTATTTTAATTTTTTTGCAAAATTTTCTTCAGCCTTTATAAAGCCTTTTAAATTTTTTAAAGAAATTGAACTCCAAAAATTAATTTGTATTTTTTCTGCTCTAATTTAATCAGCTCAGCTCATTTAATAACTGTTTATTATATAAGTTTGGAAATTCCATTTTTGTTCTTCATTATTTTCAATTTTTATCTGTAATTGCAGTCGTGCGTCTTACCCCCGCTCAGAGGCAGTGTCTGTCAAAAGCAAAATATCGCGCAAGGGAGGCGCCGTCGTCGAGACTGTTTCAGCTCCGAGCCCCTTCTGCCCGGACACTCGAGGAATTTGTTGTCTGATGTTGCTCCTCAACTTGGGCATCATGCTCATTTGCCTGGGATTCATTATCGTCATTCAATTCTACGACCCACTCATTATTTGGTATAGTAAAATTATTTAAATTAAAGAATATTATAAATAAAAATAAAATACAGATTAATAATTATAAAAATTTAAATGAAATTAAATGGAAAAATTTTGATTATTATTACAATTTTCAGGATTCTGGGGATAATTTTCCTGGTCTTTGGTTTTGTCACCTTGATCGGAAGTCTGATTTACTGCGTCTACGTGTGCCGAGACGCCAAAGACCCGCGCGAGTTCGACCTGAACGAGTTCTACTGGACCAACAGGTGGCGCGGCAAAGTCGGCTCGGCCCCGCCGTCCGAAATCCACTACAGGAGCGAGCACATGTACTCGGACGAGGACCGCTCCGGCATCAGCAAACTCAGCTCCAGGCGTTCCGACAGATACTAAAAAAACCTACCCCACCTTTTTCAAATTTTTACTCGAAAGGTGCCGCCGTAACTTTTTTTAACACATTTGCATCTTTTTTAACTCATTTTGTTGTGTTCGAGCAAAAGAGGAAACAACTGAACAAAAACTTCTCTCGAAATGTAATAACTGTGATAACAAAAAACCTTTCCTCTAAAATCTACAACAATGTCAAAAAAGTACACGCAAGGTTGTAAAATTTTAAATTTTTATTTTCATGAATAATTAATTTTTGATTATGTTTTAAAATAACATCTGATTAATTATAGAAATAAATCTACTTATTTTACAATAAATATATCATTTTGATTTTAATTAGCTAATGTCCATAAGCACGTCGGTGAAGTGAGAGAGGAAGGATTCGGAACTGGTCGGGTGAGGGTTGCAGCTTTCCTGGCTGCTGCACTGCGACCATTCCTCGTCTTCGTCCTCCTCTTCTTGAAAGGACGAATGCTGGTCGACGTGGTTCTTGAGGGCGTTGGACACTGCCCGCGGGAATGAGTACGGCCACGTCTGCAAAATTCAATTTTGAAACAAAAATGCTCAATTTTGTAGAAATTTCAACAGTTTTTAAATTTGGCTTTTACCTGGTTGGTTTTTTCAGTCATTTATTGTTCCATATTACAAAAGAAAATGGAAAAAAAATTGAGATGAGAATTATTTATGAAAAAAATGATATTTAAATTCATCAAAGTTAAATAATTATATTTTAATACAAAACACTATCTTAAAAACTAAAGTAAATGCTCTAAAAATCTGAAAATTTATTTATTGTAATAATTTTTGGCAACAAAATTTGCATGTGTTAATGATAAGAAAATATACATCCAGGGAAAAGCCAAAATTTAAATTCAACACGAAAATTTACGATATTTATGGGAAAATCCCGAGCAAGACCTTCTTTATTTACATATTTATAATTTTTTGTGACACGGCGTCGCACACAAAAGAGCAATAAAGCAGAAAAGATGTGTCGAGAGCGATTAAAACGCACCCTCTCTCGGGGTACGTCTCTCTCTCTCGCCAAGTGTAAACAAGATAATAAACGGAGCGCGGATAAGAAGAATCTTCGCAGCTGGACCGAGAGCGCGCTTGAGAACAAAGCCCAATTAATTACAGCTCGGAAGTGCTGTTTATTATTCGAACGCCCGACGCGGCGTGTCTACTTATTTTATTATTACGATAGTCCCATCTTTTCAAAGTTGCTCCATCGCACACACGCGAGATATGAGAAGAGAGAATGGAGAGAGACGAGAGCTCGCATTATTTTTAGGTTCGAGTGATTGGGAACATTTGGTGCTTGCGACGTTTGAGAATTTTGCCAAATTTAAATTTCTTTTATGCTTCATTCTTTTCGGATTCTTTTAAAGAAATGAAGAGAAAGAAAAAACTTATTTTCAATAAGCATAAATTATTTTTTTTTAATTATAAGGTTAAGACCTTTTTGTTAAATTTGTGTTTAAGAAAATAATATAAATTGAAGCCAAACATAAAGAGTAAAATTTAAAACATTAAAAGTAATTATGATTTAGGTAGATAGTTTTTGTCATCTGTATTACAAATCAACTTGTTTCGGTACACAATTTAAATAAAATATGAAATAATTTTGAATTTGTAAAAAAATACAAAATTATTAACAGGAATAAATGATAACAGTCTTTTTGAAATCTGAAAGTTTTATTTTAGCACAATTCTAGCTAGTCGTGGTGCGTGGAACTCGCACCTTGCAAAATCATTGAAAATGTCTACAAGAGCCTTATTAAATGTTTTGAACATATTTAATCACGCATTTTTAATTTTTATATTTTCTCTTAATTTCATAAATAACAATGTCTCCGTTATATTTTGCCGTCACAAGAGCCACATTTTTTATTGTTGTATATTATTATGATATTATTAAAAGATAATCAATTGTTGAGAGGAAACATGGAGAATTGCTGGACATTATTTTCAACTTTTCCCTATTAATGATATAAAATGCGCATTTTTTTTTCTAAATCCTCTTAACAATATTGAAATTACATTGGAAGTCCATAATGATACATTTTTGGAATGCCAAAAATGTATAGCATCGTTAATCTGTTTAATAATTAAAAAAATCATGAATTGATATTAAATTGACTTATGGGAAACCTCTTACTATTGCGCTTTTTTATGTTGGAAATTGAAAGTGGCCAATGACTTTATAAATTATCACATTTATTATTGGACATGGTCACTCAGCTCAAGTTGATTGTTGGTATCAATGTTCCCTTATAATTTACGTTACTAACGGAATTATGGATTCAAAAATATTTACCCCATTTCTGCGCTCAAATTAAAAAACGTAAAAATAATTTAAATCTACTAATGAAGGAAAAGTCTTAAGCTATGATTAATTTCTCTGCATAAAATAATTTTCATTCAAATTTGCAGAGAATGATTCTACTTCAGTTTATAAAAGAAAATATCTTACAAAATAATTTCAAGATGTATTTGTAGCTGATTTTTTAGGAGTTCTGATTTAAAAAATTTAAAAATGTTGCCTTTAAAAAAATGCAATCTTATTTAAATTGTTTAAGAATAATTTGTAAATTTTTACCAGTGTGGTGGGGTGAGGAGGGTCTGCAACTTCTGCGGCGGCTCCATCGGGGTCTTCGCCGGTGCCGACCAGATTCCTGAGGTGCGCGATGTAGGAAGTGGCGAGTCTGAGCGTGTCCAGCTTGGACAGTTTGGTGTCCGGCGGCACCCACGGCAGGGTGGTCTTGAGGCGGCAGAAGGCCTTGGACAGGACGCGCATGCGGGCGCGTTCGCGTGCGTTGGCCGCGTTGCGTTGGTGCGGCTTGCCCGGGGACATTCGCTCGCCCGAGGACAAAAAGCGGACGTGCGGCGGACGCCCGAGGGCCACGGCGCGGCGACTCCGTCTCGGCATCGCGGCGGCTGCTGAGTGACGCGAGCGCTCCAGGGCTGAAAAGGACGGACGGCCCGTTTCGTCTCCGCCCCCGCCACGCAGAACGGCGCCCTCCACTTCGCCCTTCTTTTCAAAATTGCTTTCTAAGAAGGGCCAAAACTTCCTATATTTTTCAGTAAATTGCAGCATTTTAGATTTGGATATATTTATTGTGATCAGAATTTGTAATTGGAAAAATAATTTGATTTATTAATTAAATTAAGTAATGAAAAATTTACGAATTTATTTCATTTTCGTTATTTTCAATGTATTTTTATCTAACATTAGTAGAATTAAAGTTTGATCAAGAAATAAATCTTATCAATAAATTGACGCAAGAAAAGTATTTACATTTTTATAAAGAGGGACTTTCTAATTAAATTCTTTAAAAGTGAATTAAAAATATTGGGCCCTAGTATAAGATTTGCCAAGAGACATGAAATTAAAAAGACAAATTAGAAACTTTTTCGAACCATAATTTGACTCTACATAGTCAATTTTTCCTTGAACTTTAATTTAGAAATAATAAAACTTTCCAAATATTATAACTAGTTCCTGCAAAAATTTAAAAATCTACTCTAAATGATTCATAAATTTAAAATTGAATATCAAAATAGTACAAAAATTAATTACACAATTTTCAAGTCACTATTTAAATTAGTGGAGTCAAATTGAATTTCAACTAAATTATAATTAATAATGACAAAATGTCTTGCGTTTATATTGAACTAATTTTAAACATATTTATTTCAAGATTTTTGCTTGATAACTAAATCACAAGAAACGATGTTCCAAACATGTGAGGTCGGTCTGATGAAAACTAAAAAATGTGTGTTCTTTCCTCATTGCAAGTTCACGTTACGTACTTTAGAAGAAATTCTTGCACGTGCATTTTATTTTTTATAGTGCAGATGCGCTTTTGCGCGGCGTGCGCGTTTCGGGGCGATTTCTTATGTTTTCTCAAGGGGGCGGCGAATCTTTCTTCTGGTCCGCAGGATTGGGTTTCTTTCTGACTTGCATGCCATGTGGCCGAGACCGGGGGAAATTCAGATTTGTCATTCGCGCCTAATTACACGCAACGTCGAAAATTAATAGGGCAACGATTTACGAGAAACAACCCCGTGGCAAACAAAGATAAATGCAAGATTTAATCGGTCAGAAAATGAATAAATTTAATTTAAACGAAAACATTTGTATTGATTGATCCTCCTTTTGTTGCAAAAATTTTAAATTTAAGAAAATTTAAGGAATGTCTAAAATTATTATAATTTTTAATTGGCAAAATTAATGAATTTCTGAAGCAGCCGCACAAAGTTTTTCCATTTTGCTTTTAGAAAATCTCACAATATATCTTTCCATTTAGCAATAATTTATCATCTCCCAACCCCAATTTTTGGAAGGCGACAATTTTTCAAGGCTTGATTTATGCTTCCTAATCCCAAAAGTTAATCGTTTTGTTAAGAAAACCGGCGGCTCTGGCACTCACGTTTCGTCCCCTCGATTTGCCGCCTGTTTAACCCAACACCGTTCCCACCCCTTCGCAACCGGCAACTTGACCTCCCGCAGAAGGATGCAATATATTTGTCAAAAAAGAGACCACGATATCTTTCGTCTCTTCAAAAAAATAAAAAAATTTGATTTATGATCGTTTTCCAAAAATTTACAACCGCTTTTCATAATTTCATGAAATGTATAATCCGACTTAAAAATGGTATAAAAACTGCAATTTATAATAAATTCTTTTAAAAATAATATATTTCCAACTAGTTTTAATAAAAAAATTGATTCTGATCATTTTTGCTGAGCTATTGTATAAAAACGGATTTTGTAGGATCATTTTTCATAATTTTACCTCAAAATTACTCATAATTTTTAACGCTTTCTACTCATTAAGACACTTTAAACCCATTGCGGCGGCTTGAATAATAAATTTCTCTAGAAATTACTGCACTTGTAATCTGAGTGCAATTTCTTTGATTTTATTTCCGCGCGTGAATTTTTAATTGTATTTTATTTCGTAGGTTGACTTGCAAATTAACGTTTTTCCCTTCCAGTGGCATTTTTTTCAAAAAGAAAAATTAATGTACAATAATTATGCTCAATTTACATTAACCAGAGATCCTTCTAGCGCCCGCCTCGAACTTTCAACACCACAATTTTACGCGTGCCACGATTGGCGCTTCAGTAAAAGCTAAAATTAAATCTGGCATCTTGGTCGGAAGTGAAGGCTCCGCCAGTCAGTAAAACTTGCGGGCAAAATGGCTTCAAGGCGCCGACATGATCCACCTGGACCCGAAACCAATGCCAACAACAAAGAAATAATAAATTTCTCACTAGCAAAAAATTACAACTCACAAGATAAAAACCTAAATATTTCAATTTGCCTGATTTTTTTTAATCTAATAGTAGAAAGTTTATTAATTTAAAACTGATTCTCTCGGAGCCAAAAAATTTATTGGGCTAATTTTGCACTACTTGAGTGTGAGTGCGGCTCATGTTTTGTTTGTTTGGGCTCCGAAGTGGCCCCCTGTTGTGCTCACGTAGGAAATACTTTAAATGCTCTTACACGTTTGATTGACACTTGTGGGTCCACGTGTTGGTCCTATTTAATTTCACGTCCTCTGCAAGCGATTTCTGGCGAGAATTTTCTCACCCTCGCCTCCTTGCGTTAAAACCGAAATGTGATATATTTGATGATTTCCCTGGTCTTCAAAATATCAAACACTTTGGCTAAATTAATAATTGTAATCTATCAAAATAGATTCTGAAACTTTGTATAAAAATTTTAGATTTTTTTAAAAAAAAATTCAAGACTTCAAATATTAAAAGAAATTCAAATCGAAGAAAATATAAATGAAAGTTACAAGAAGTTATTAAATAGTTTGATTAAAAATTTAAACAAATTCAAGAAGGAATTTCCCAATCTTGTCGCATGTTAAAATTACCAGGATATATAATGTCTTAAAATAGTCTCCAGATCAAACAATAAAGGTTCGGTTTAATGTCAACATGAAGCATACAAATAAATTATCTTACAGCCGGTCTGTACTTTTAATTAGTTCAAGACCTACCTTTACAGGGTCCAGCAGGGACCGCAGACACAAATTAAATCTCAGTCTTATATAAAAATGCTCTGAACTAATCTTCAGGAACAACCACAAAGTCCAGAGTTTCCGCCCCTCTTCGGACAGCCACCTCCAGAGACTGGCTGCTCTCCAAGCTCTTGAAAATGTCCTGGACACTTTTCACGTGCTCTCCGTTTATGTGAGTAATCACATCACCAGGACGAAGACCTCCCCTAAAATAATTTGTAAAAGTTATAATTAAGGAATTTTAATTCTGATAAAAACGTAGATGGACCAGTAAGCTTTATGAATGAATAATTCTTACTTATGAGCTGGAGAGCCAACAACAATCTTGACTATGAAAACTCCACTGACGTCCTCAGGAAGGGAAATCATGTTTCGCTGGGTCATCTCGAACCTGAGCTCAGGGGTGATGGTGACCATCGTAATGCCCATGTACCTCCTGCTCTTCACTTCACTTGTGAAGCCCTTGTCTTTAGCCTTGGCAAGGTATTTCAATAGAAAGTCTTTGGCGTAATCAATAGGGATGGCAAATGAAATGCCAGCGGTTATTTTCATTGCGTTGATGCCGATCACCTCTTCGTCGAGGTTCACCAACGGGCCTCCGGAATTACCAAACTGAAAGGGACAAATTTGCAGTTTCACCAAATATTCTTTCAAAATAATAAAGAAAAAAAGAGGCCTTTAAAATAGCTCAATTTTCTGACTTGAAATCTTAATAATACAAACCACTGAGGAGTTTTATTCAACTTTTATTTTAATACATACTGTTATGGATGCATCGGTCTGAATGTACTCCATCCCTTTTCCGTGAAGGCCCAACTCCTTGCTCTTCCTGCCGACCGTGCTGACAACACCAGCTGTCACTGTGTTTGACAGAGACAAGGGACTGCCGATTGCAACAACCCACTCTCCAGACTCAAGATCATTAGAAATGCCCAATTTCATTGGAGAGAGATTTTTCTGAGGAATTATGAAATAATTTGATTTTAAGATAAAATTAATTTAGCTTTTTTCAATTGCCACGTACAGCTGGTATCCTAATGAGCGCCAAATCTGCAGACATGTCCAGGTCCTCGATTTTGCCAACGAATGATCTGCCGTCGTGAAGTTTAACCTGGAAATTTTTAAATTATTTAAAACATAATAATAATAAAACCAAATTCATCTTACGACAACAGTGTTCCTCGTTCTGCTCGACACAACATGAGCATTTGTCATAATAAGTCCATCATCTGAGACGATAAAACCTGAACCATTTGACATCATTCTAAAATATTAAAACAAAAATTAACAAGCATAAAATTATATCAACAATTAAAGTTTGTACCGATTAAATCTGCCATCGAGGATTTCGATGTAAACAACTCCGGGCGAGCAGGTTTTGACGACGTCGGCGATGAAGTTGTTGCTCTTCCTCCTGCTGCCACCCTCAGTTCCTGCCGACGGCTGAGCGGCCTCTACCCTGGGCAAGATACCGGTGTCGCCGTAGTAATCGGCCCAGGCCATGCCGAGACCCACTCCGGCCGCGAACAAGCCTCCAGCAGTTGCCAGTCGAAGGCTCCATGAAGAGGAAATCTGCTGCTCTCCACCTTGCGAATGCAAAGGTTGTGCTCGCAGGGTGGATGCGGACGCTAATGTGGGTCGAAGAAGTCTGATGCAACGAGGACCCAAGTATTGAACAGGCTTCGAGAGCAGCATGGTTTTATGTAACTGTGAATTTTTTGATTGAATTTAGCGATTGTTTAAAAAAACGTAAAAAAAAAACTCTTACCTATTACTCTCTGCAAATGTTTCTCTCAATGTATTTTCAAATTCGAAACTCAAAAGAGAGGAAAAACAGCTCGAAATTTCAGATTTAGAATTTTGCGCGTTGTACAACACCAGAACAACACCAATAGAGTGTGTAAAGAAAGGAGATTCTAATTATTTTAGTTGCTAGAAAGGGCAACCTTTATCAAGCAAGATGCAGGTTTTAAATGTTCCGGATAAATATAGAAAATATTTTTTTCAGAACTCTATGTATGACATTTAAAAAGTTATGGTGACTTTAATAGTTTAAAAAATCGAAACCTTTTATCTCCTCGACAAACACCCTCCATAAACTTGACACGCCCCTCTATTTCCCGCTCAATTTGCGATCGGTCGCCAAAAAAGTTAAAAAGTGTTCTGATGATCTGCCGCTTCATCACCAGCAGATTCCACTGAACGGATCAAAAATGTTGCTAAAATTACGAGTTTTTAACGGAAAAGGTGAAGAGTTTTCCGTGGAGATTTCAAGATCGAGTCACGTTCATCAACTGCTGGAAGAGGCGAGTCGATTTCTCAAAGTCGCAAGCATCAACCTCGACCTCATCTTCCAAGGTCAATTTGTAAGTATTTTGGTAAAATTTGGCTTAAATTGAAATAACTCTGCGCTTTTTTCTTCAGATGACCAAAGATAGTCCATTGCTGATTTACAAATTGAAGGATTTAGATGTCGTGGGCGTCCGAGTGAAGAAGCAACCCCTCTCTCCTCTCAAGAAATCGACTGCTAAAGCAGTCGAAGATGGCAAGGTCCAAGTAAACCCTGAAGCACTGAACCCCAGTTGCTCCTATTTCGAGGTAAGGAAACGCAATCGACTATTTTATTAAAGTAAAACCAACTTTTTGTGTAGCCTGGAGACCTTCTGTACTACAAAAACCCACAGACAGGCCAGTGGCAGGAAGGTGAACTGTTGTCCATTGAAGAAAACTCCAATGAAAATGAATCACCTAACTCAGGAATTAGTGGGAAACTTTCTTACAGAATCCATGATGGATTGTAAGTTTATTTGATAAAAATATTTATACAATTTTTAACCAAATTAATATTATTTTTAGCACAAACAAAGACCTGACACTGCCTTTGGATAATTTACTTCCCGTTGGAAATGAAGAGTATGGTGCTTGTGATCTGAAGCAGGACATGGTAGTGCTTGCGTACTCCCATCTCCCAAATTCAGTTGAAGGATGGTAAAGTGTAACAAAATGTTGATTTCTTAATTTTATAATTTATTTTGCTAGGTTTGAAACTGTCATCACCAAAGTTGAGCCAGGCAGAGGGCAATTTCCAAGGGTGTATGGCTTGGTGCAGGCTACACCAGATTCGTACCCAAATCAGAAGATTGCGTACATGTTTAGGACTGTGAAGATGCCCACGCTTCTGCCAAGATTGGAGTGGAAACAACTAAATAGCACCTATTCTCTTGTTAACCGTGAGTTTCCAGATATTAAAATTTCATGGTTTTTTCCCCAAAGCCAGACTTTATAGCTTTCAAATTAATATTTTTTTTTTCTTTTCGTAGCTTGCAAAGTCTGCCGTGGACACCCAGTCACTAATTGCAGGGAGTGTAGCTGCGTCATTTGCGGAGGAAAGCACGACGAAGACAAGCAACTGATCTGTGAGGAGTGTGAAGATGCATTTCACATGAATTGCATCTTTCCACCACTACAAGAAATTCCAGAAACAGACTGGTATTTTCTGAATGGAATTTTACAAAATTGATTAATAAATGAATAAAAACCAACTTAGGTTCTGCAACAAGTGCAACCACAATGACGAAGAGCTGAAGGACAAAGGTCAGAAGTCAAAGAAGAAGAAGACAGAAAAGGCTGAAGAGTCCATCAGTAAAATCAAAGGGAAGAAGGACTGGGGCAGGGGACTCTCCACAGCCGCTGTCATTGACAAGTTCTGCGTTGTCCCAAAGGAACACTTCGGAAAGATTCCTGGAGTTCCGTCTGGAAGGCTCTGGATTTCAAGACTTGACGTAAAACTTTCTTAAGTCAAAAAATATATCAAATTTTAAAACTATTTATCTCAAAATTAGGTCTGCAGCTACGGTGTCCATCGTCCGCCAGTCGCTGGAATTTGTGGCTCTCCCGCCACTGGAGTGCAGAGCGTCTGCTTCTCAGGTGGCTATGAAGGGGACTACGACAAGGGCACCAGCTTTGTCATGTCTGGCAGTGGTGGGAGGGACTTGAGCAACAACAAGAGGATAAACAAGCAAAGCTTTGCTCAAGAATTGAAAGGATCAAATTTGTGAGTTAATTTATTTTCGCCAAAAATTGTATCTAAATGGATTTGTACCAACAGGGCTTTGGCACTTTCATGCTATGCTGAATTGAACGAGGAAAAAGGAGCCAAATCGTCAAATTGGCGTCAAGGTCTTCCCATCCGAGTCGTTCGGGGTTATAAATTGGGCAAAATCTCCAAGTATGCCCCTGACGAAGGTTATAGGTAATTAATCTGATCATTGCCATTTTAAAAGTGCAGGATTATTGTTTAAATTAAAGTAAATTTAAAAAATAATTACATTTTTTTTTCTTTAAAATTTACTTAAATTGAAGTTTAATGCTCTGCATTTGATCCCAATTTTTTAAGAAAATAATTTATTTGATTATTTTTTCATAGATATGATGGGATTTACAAGGTCGTCAGGTATTTCAAGGACACGTCTGGAGGCAATGTCATGTGGAAGTATGAGTTGCGCAGAGATGACCCTGAGCCCCCTCCATGGTCCTCAAGTGGATTGAAGTTCATGAAGGAAATGAATGTGGGATTCCTCGAGGTATTTATTTTATTAATTTTTCTGTGAAAATTACAGCTTTAAATTTACATTAATTTCAGGGAAGCAAGCTGAAGATTGAAGAGGAGAAGAGAATCAAAAGGAAGGTGCCAATGGAGGGAGTGCAGATCAAGCAAACCAGAGTTACTCCTTACGTTCTGAGACCCGAGATCAAACAGTTGGTGAAATTGGATGTTTTGAACAAAAGAATTTGGGATCATCTGTTGCACTCGCTAAACCTGGGATACCCAGTAAGATTTGTCTTCATTTTTTGTTTTTTTATTTAATTTTTCTTCTTCGAAGGACTTCATCAAGGCTCTGGCTGAACAGTTTTCTTGCCAGATTTGCCAGGAGGTGGTGAAGGATCCATTTACAATGAATTGCGGCCACAATACCTGCCTGGTATGAATTCAATTACTTTTTCTTGGATGCAATTGTTACCGAAATTTGCATTTCTAGCACTGCATGAAGAAGTGGCTCAAGGACGCCAGCAAGGCTTGCTGTCCGTTCTGCCAAGCTTCCGTCAACAAATCTGAAGTGGAGGTCAACCAACCACTTGACAAGATCCTCAACTCTCTGCTGCCAGGCTACAATCCAAAGGGACCAGCCCCCCGACCTTACGGTTTGACCAAAAAGTAGGCGGCTGTGTCGTAGATTTACAATTGCTTTTCATTTCCTGTTTGGTACCTTGATGTGTTAACTTTATATCTTTGTATTAATTTATTGGACATACTGCACTTTACGCAGATTACCAAATAATCTAATGAGCTGTTTTGAAGCAGCAAGCAAAGTTCAAAGTTGATATAATAATATATTCTTTTACGGAAACCACTCATCATATATGTGAAATATTGCTCTTGGTCTTATCAAATAAAGTCTTCGGTTTATATTAAATAACAAAATTTTTTGAATGTCATACTGCTTCTTTATATTATTGATATTATCATAACAAGTGGTTTTAATTTTTTACCAGCAAAAAAAATCATAGAAAAACGCCTCTACCGGAATTTTAGTGAATTAAAAACAAAAACAGCTGATTCTCACAACATATTGAACACATTTTTGTGACGCTGATGTTGAATCCACAAAATTAGTGTTGACTGAGAAAGAAACAAAGTTAGTTTGATCAGATGAGATTTGAGCTGACAGGAAATTGATGGAGAAATTATCTCGTAAGCTGTTGACGAAAGGAATATTTGCCGTCGATAAACCGAAAAATGTTTATTCCATGGAAGTTGTGGAAAAAATTAAGGGGATCCTTTATAATGGTAAAAATAATTTTATACTGATTGATTTTAACTGATCAATTTAAAATATGTTTTAACAGAAATAGCTTTTCTTCGAAATAAACCACCGGATTTACTGAAACTTGGACACGGCGGCATTTTAGATTATCCAGCTAGTGGAGTTTTAGGTATAATAAAAATATTCAATTTAGCTAATATTATCCTTTAATTTTATGCATAAAACAGTCATCGGTGTTGGATATGGTTGTAAGGTTTTGAAAAAATTTCTCCAATGCGAAAAGAGGTATGCAACCGTAGGCAAATTAGGAGAAGAGACTGACACTTTAAACGATATCGGCTGTGTGACGGATTCAAAACCTTTTGGTAAAATATTAATATATCTTAGTTAAATAATTGTGCTCTATTTTTGTTTATACAGATCACGTGACAAAAGAACAAATTGACAGCCTTTTGAAGTCAAAATTTAGTGGGAAAATTTGGCAAACTCCACCAAAGTATTCGGCGCTGAAGAAAAACGGTAGAAGGATGTCGGATTTGATGATGTAAAAATTAGCTTGTGATAATTTTTCATAAAATAATTGGAAAAATTTAGGGAAGGAAAAGAAGTTGAGGTGAGCCCGCGGCAAGTTATATGCCACAGTGTTGAATGCACTCAATTCAATCCACCGTTTTTCGAACTCGACGTCACTTGCGGAGGCGGATTTTACATCAGAAGTTTAGTCCATGACGTTGCAAAAGGTGCATAGTTATTTTAATTTATGCGTGGAAAAGTTTTATATGATTTGTTTTATTAAGAAATGGGGACCTGTGCGCACATAACCGAGCTGAGACGAATTCAACAGGGGCCATTCCACGAGTCGGACGCTTTGGAAAAATGTGACTGGACTGCAAATTGTATTTTGGAAGCAATGTTCAAACACAGGCCGCACCTGAGATTTCAAGAGGCAGAGGTTTGGTGACAGTGAAAAAGGGAGATGTTAAAAATCAACATAAAATTATTTATTAAATTAAACTTAAGGCTTTTCTTTTGATGGCTCGTCTAACTAAAACAAATGGTTTTTTTTTCGCATTTCAAAGCTGCAGTTCTAATTTTGGGATTGAGGGAGGTTTTTAGGAATGCTACAGCAAAATAATTCTACAAATACAGTTCTGCTATTTTGACTACACACATTCACAAACGCATTTTACAAAAATGAAATCACGCAGTCAAATTATTATTCATCACTCCACAGAAATAATCACACTTTTGAAGAAACACTCTCGGCTAATTATTGTCATTAGTCTTTGATTCTCAGTTCGAGATGAGACCTAGTCCGTGGAGGGCCACGTACTGTTTGTGCAGCCGTTGCCTGCAAAACTGGTAAAACTCGGTTTCCCTCGTGAAGTTCTGCCGCACCAGATTCTTGATCTCCTCACTCACAGTCGGTTTGTACAAGTTTTTGTTGATCTTACTCAAACTATGGGCAGAGTCTGAAAATTAAAATAATAAATTGCTTCAAATTTAAAATAAAAATCTAAAAATCCTACCCCAGTAAACTTGAGAAGCACCACTGAAGAATCTGGGAATGTAGTGTTCAAAAACAGATAAAGTTTTGTTGAATTCCTCGAGAACTCCAACCACGGCGTAGTGTCGCTCGACCGCCGCTTTGGCTCTTTGCAAAGCGCCTTCAGTGTTGAAAGGCCTGGAAATTTTTTAATTTTAAAAATTGAAAAAAAAAATATGAAAGGAAAAAATAATGGTCACTGACGTGCACTCCTCTCCGTGGCCGCAAAAGAAGAGGGTCTGTCGCCTGTGGTCACCGATACCCTCCCTCGTTTCGCCCTCGATGAATCTGCACTCACGGTCTCCTCTTAGGACGCAGGTTTCAAAATCCTGCAAAAATTTAGTCAAGATAAATTTAAATTAAATAAGATGGAAAATTAACAAATTTAAAGATTTATTTTAAATTTTTTTTAAGGAGGGCCTGCTAAAAAACGATCAGATTAAATTTAATGCTTGTTTATTTTTATAGATTTTTCATGAGAAGTAAAATAAGAAAAATTGAATCAATTAGGAAGGACTGAATTTTTTAAATTTAGCGCTATTTATCAGGAATTTTCTGCTCTGTAATTATTTTCCTCCAAAATTTCCCGATTAGTTTTCTCTAAATCAAGTTCAGATCACACCAACTACGTTAGCAAAATCAAATCAGTAAGAATCAAAATTTGAAATGAACGCTGAAATGGAAAATTTTATGCGAATTTATTTTTCACTATACGATTTCATAGATTTTTATTATTAATTTTTTTGCATTTGTGAATTGAAAACGAAAGTAGTAAAATTTCCTGTAATTTAAAATGTTTAATTTATTAATTTATAAGTATAATTTTTTCTCTAAATTACTTAATTACTAAAAGGTTCGTACTTTCTTGAGCCAGTTTGGATCTGGCAGCGGCAGATCAGGGAAAACCTGTTTCCTCTCCACGTAGTACCACGGCGCTCTGATGTAGTAGTACCACGAGATGACCCGTTCCACAGGGTCGCGCACCAGGTTGATGTAAATCGGCTCGGGATAGCCGTACCTGCAGCAACACATTTAAATAAAAAAGGAAAACAGCCGTCGCGGGTTTTGCATGTGTTGATTAAGTGCAAAAAGAAAAACAATTTTAGAGGAATAAAAAAATTCGTGAAAGTGAAAGAAAGAGAGAGACTCACTTGGTGAAGTTGGTGAAGCAGACGTGCTTGACGTACACAGACGGCGGCTCGTAATTGCTCACTACTTGCGCCAGGTATGACTGGAAAATAAATAAAAATGTAATAAAATTTTGCCAAATCATGTCATAATTCAGAATTGGTTATTTTTACTTTATATAAAAGAAAACTGTTTCCCTGAAAAAAATTAAGTTTACTCTCACAAATTTTCTGATTACATTTTTTCCCTTAAATTTCAGAAAAAATTGTATAAAAAAACGAAACTTTTATGATATTCCTCCGTGCAGAAATTCTTGTTTTGAAGATAAGAATCAATCTTGGCGTGACGCACGAAACGAATTTGATGCATTTGAAGCGGCATCGGAAGACGCGTGAAAAGCAAAAGCTTGAAAATTGTCACAGTTACCCATATTTCTATATCGCTACATTTGATTTTCATCTGTCGCGCACTTATCTAGGTGACACGATTAACAAATGGTGCGACTAAAACTTTAAAGCATAATCTAAGCCAGCAGAGCAGAAAATTGAGATGAGTTAAAAGTATAGTTTTCGAGATAAAAATGTACTATTCGATAAATAATCCTTTTGAATAATTCATAAGTTTTCTAACACGTAAACAACAAAAAACTTTCATTATATAAATTACCAAGCCCGTCTAGACGCAGTTAAAATGTATAAAAAAAAGTAAAACCCAGTTAAGGGAAATTGAATAAGAAGTTGCCGATCTACTTTCAGTCAATTATGGAAACCGCTTTTGCTTTTCAAGAGCAAAAGTGGTTTGTTTCGATTCATTACTTCGTCCGAGTACGATGACTTGATTGAATTCCAGCTTTTGTTTGTTTTGTGAAGGTTCAACTCTATTTCTACTCTCAAAAGAGAGCGAACGCGCATCTGCTGTAGAAATTAGGGAAAGCTCTTTCAAAAGTCAACTGCTTTCCTATTTCAAACCAGTTACAAAATATTCTGCAATATTTAGCTAAATTGAAACATTAAATCTTTAAAGATATAGAAATTTTAGATAAAAAATTATCCAATGCATAATTTTATTACTTTATAAATTTCAAAGCAAATTATTCCATAAACGTTTTTATATCAGTATGAATTTTATTTGCGTTAATTAATTGTATAAGATTTTCATAAAAATCAATATAAGAGCAAATTAGGCTTCATTTAATAGATAAATTAATTTTTTTTTAATTTTTTCCCTTCTTATGCTAGATAATTAATTTATATTTTAATAATTATAATAATAAAATACATACTTCATCCCGCGGAGCCAGTCGAATGGACTCGACCCTCTGGACCTTGTCCCGGTGGAAGTTGAAGCCGTTGCGATGGGACAAGCGCCTGATCAGCTCCATGATCGTCTGGCTGCCCACCTTGGGCACTCGATTGAAGAAGATGATGTCCTTCTTCGCCCTGGCCGTGTTGTTCAGCGCAGTCACGTCGATCTGTATATTTTCATTTATTAGAAAGAGTTCTTCGTATTATTTAATTTTTATACTTCTTCAGTGACGACTCCCTGAGGAAGGGTGCCGGCGAGGGCGGCCAGCATGATTTTGCTGGACGAGGACGAGGATGTTGGGTCGCCGCCAGAAGTGATGACGACGGTGTTCACTGCTGATTCTAAAACAGAAAAAGTCGATTTTTTTAGGGAAATATGTTGAAAATACTTCAAGATATAAAAAATATTTTGCAAAGAAATAAACACGTCTCAATTTGTTTGCTTCTTTATTTGCAAATTTTTTTTAAATCTTTTTAACTTTTTACTTGCAGTCCACCTTGTAACAAAAATGAAAAAATATAGCATAATCAAATTTCTTAAGTTTATGCATGAAAATAAAAAAACTAATAAAACTATCAATAATTGAAATAACTGAATCAGTTTTTTTCTGTGATTCTAATTGTAAGTCAAACGTTTTTCTTTATATTTTATAATTAGATAAATTATTAATTATCAAAATATCTGATATATTGCCAGTTAGTATATTTGTTGATAATATAAAAATTGTGATTGCTCTGAAAGTAAAAGTCTCTTCTTAAGATCCGCATGCAAATTTCGCGACTTCCTCTGAACCCTTTTCAAATGAAATTATATTACAACTCATTCATTGTTCGAACAAAATTGCCGAGCCACGATTGTCAAATAAAGAAAACTTTCTCCCCAAAAAAAAAATCGCTCGCCGTCTTCGTCGTAAAAATAAAGCACAATAAATATTCAAGGCGGCCGATATAGTAAAATATTCAAGCTCGTGCGTAATGCAAATAATAAATTCCCACAAGAAGCGAGTTTTTTACTTTCTCGCGTGTGCGTGCAGCCGCGGCGGCGAACGAAACTCATCATTTGCATCGCTGCAATTACCGGCCATTAATCCGTCGGCGTCATTTATCTTGTGTCTGGGACGCATTTTATTATGGTCAGCGGAATAGGAGCGGCCAAACGATCCTTTCCTGACCTACATTCAGCACTCTTTTTTTCTGCGTCTCATCCACACACACAAACACCTGATGCTGGACTATAGAGAGGACGTTCGTCAGCACAGAGGCGGAGGGAAATCCAGGCACACTCTTCATTTAGAACTTCATTGTCGCTTTTTTGCCCAGGAGAGAGTTTTTCACTCGCTTCAGTTATTAATTAATTAAGTTAACTTTGCAGATTTTGTTTTAATCTAGATTTAAAATAGAGCTCTAAATTTTACTACAAAATCAATTAGTTTTAATAATTTTTTAAATAAAATAAATTTTTGACAATCTGACCGGTATTTAAAAGTCGTGCATAATTTTATTGGCTCGTCATATTAAAACGAGATAGTTGTTAAGAAAGTGTTTTCTGGATGACCGGCGGTTATTTTTAATTTCAGACCTCTCTCGGAAGTGGAGCCTTTCTGATTCTCACTTGCAGATTATTAGCTTACATTTAAGCTAATTACGTGGAAGTGAAATGTGCACGCGTTTTAATTATGTAAAATTCGGGTAATGAAGTGAAAATAAATTCCGTGTTGAGGGTTATTATGCAAATTCCCCGTTCCACGTTGTTATCCCAAACTGACATAACGAGGGCCAAAGGTTAATCACGGCGAGTTTCTTTCACATGCTCAACAACCTCGAAAAAAGTTAAATTTTCAATAAAATCACTTTTTGAACAAGAAAATATAATTTTTTTAGTTGTTTTTCTTTTGAAATAATATTTGACTAACGAATTGAGTCCATTGCTGTGAAAAAGCTTCTCTAAGAATTGAATAGATCGGAGTTTTTTATGAGCCTTTTGCTTATACAAAATTTGATTCTGAAAATAAAGCAAACAAGTAAAGAGGTTCTTGCTCTGACAGCTCAAAGGTCTGCGTCATGCCAGCAGAAAGTCCATTTCTTTCAAAGGCGAAATGTTTGTTTAACTGTTTTCAACAAAAGCAAGTGTAAACTTTGAAAGTTTCTTGACTTTTCCTATCTTTCATTTTTAATCGAATTTCCTCATTGAAAACGGGACAATCTGCGTCTAATAATCGGAAACTTTACTTTCAATTTCACCCTTCACGCGTACGCAGTTGTATAATTGCAGCTCCAATTATCCAATTTGACATGAACGCGCGGAGGTGTGGGAATCGTTTGATTTTCTCAGAGATTGCTCAATAATTGTATAATTAAATAGCGAGAGTAGTTTATATAAATTTCGTGTTGCGTGTGCAAAAAGCACAGATTCACAAATCAATCCAAGCACAGTTTTTTTGTAAAGGAATTATTAATTTGTCAAGCATTGTTTGCGAGAGAGATGCATTATTTCCCAGCGTCATGAATTTATAAACAAATTGCGCAACTTTTGTTTTCAAACAAAATAATTATACTTGTTTAATATCAAAGGATGTGAAACTACTTTCGATCGGCGAAAACACAATGCTCCGATTAATTGCGCCTCTTGCGTGGGCCCTGCTTTGATATATCAAACTGCAAAAAACAAAATCCGTCATCGGCGCCTTTTGTGTCGCAAAAATCGGTCTATGCACGGAGGATTAAATCGGTTGTCAAACAATGGAAGGGAAAATGGTTTCGGTTTGGCGAGTGTCTTTCTTATTTGACAATGTGCCAGGCTTGGAATATTAATTAGGCGTCACGACCACAGCCAAATAATAAAAATCGCCAACACCTTTTAACTTCAAATCTGATGAGATATCAAATTTAAAAAATTTAAATATCTGTAAAAGAAAATTATAATTCTTTTTAAGGAATTCAAATTTCTAATAAAAACAAATTTAAAATAAATAATTGCATGTTTTTTTTCCAACTAAATAAAATAAAACTTTTGCCAAATTTTAAATTCAATATATTCTGACCTTAAAATTCCTGTATTTATTTTTCTTTTCTTATTAGATTTGACGTTTGTGTGGTCTCGTCTCTTGCGTCACCTCTGCAGTGACATTCGTCAGAAAATGGAGCAGGTCTCACATGTTTATGTCACCCATCGATGCAAAACCGCCGACGTGTTTATTGAAAGCTCTAATAGGCCCGAAAGCAGCGCAATAATTTGGCGACACCAGAGACGCTCAGTCTGTTAAAATATTCAAATAATTTTAAGCGCGTCTGCAAAAATAACGGGGCTGTCATTGCAGCCGATTTATGAGAAATGGAACGTCGGCGGGTCGTTTGCACTTGCAATTATTATTCTTGCTCGCAACGGGAGAGAGAACAAGAAGCAGTGAGCTGCGGGTCGACCATAATTAATCTTAAAAATGCAGTTATTTCTACTTTGAATGATTTGTTTGTCGTTTAAATTAACAAGAAATTATAAAAAATATTGATCAAATTTATTTGAAATGAGAAATGAGGAAATGAATTGAATTGAAATTCAGATCAAATAGAGAAGCTTCTTTTTTAAAGAAAAATTGAGTTTCTAAATTCACTTATTTAATGCAAGTTCGCCTAACTTCGTACCTATTTATAAAAAAAAGTCATATTTGAAGCTAAAAAATTAAACTTTTCTTTTAGATTTTTCAATTTTTTTTTTAAATATAGAAAATAAATCACTATTTGATCTATATCTGAGAAAATTACTAATTTTTTTCCCGCAGGAATCACATTTAATCATTTCTAAATTAAGAAATTCTATTGACACAATGTTCATTTAAATTAAAAGCACTAAAGTCACTCTTCTATATATTTTCATTTTGTTGCCAAAACTATTTTTTTCAGTTCATCCCACAAGAAGCGAAAGTACGCAAAAGTTGTGTAAAAGTGTGGCTATATATTTGAGGACTTTTGCCAACAAGGCGTGTGCATTATTTCCTCTCAAATGCAACTCACATTTTACTCGAGTAAATGGGAATAATCTTTCGCCACAAAAAAGCCCACATTTGATTGCACAATTGATGAGCTTCTTCACTTCTAAAAATTCGGTCACTCTGCCTGCCGCGGTGTTAAAAAGAGGAATTTGAAAATCAGGTTTGTCGAGGTGGAGTAAAAAATCAGCTGTCAGAACAGAGTGCGGAGGAAGATCGACGCCTCTAACCAGGCCGCGCTTTCCTTTCTACGAATACAATATTTCCGAGCTGCACACATTATATAAAATATCCGATCTAGTCGGTCGGTTTTCATTCGCTCAGGGCCAAACGCGGATTTCATCACATGTCCGCCGACAGCACTTCCCCATTAGCGAGGAAAAGAGATCGCACGCGCTCTTCTTAATTTATGCTCGTCAACTTTGATCCGACTGGCCTAAAATTATTGCCAAGCTGATTGATACGGGTAATTAGAGAAAGACTGCGCCGGAATTGGAACGCATTTTAGCAATCATAATGGCATTTTTACCGCTATTCAATCAAACCAGCTTCTGGTTCCAAATTAGATTCAAAGAGAACTTGTTGATTTTATAATTTAAATCTGTTTTGCTGGAATTATTTTTAAAGTTAATGAAAACTTTAAAAATGTCTCCTTTTTAATTTAAATTTTGGTTGACAAAGTTGCTGTTTAGCTTAAAAAAAGGCTAAAATGTCTTCTGAATAAGTAATTTTTTTTGTTTAATTATCTTGGATTATAATGAAATTAAGGATGTTTTTACTTTCGATTTGTTTCAAAATTGATGACTGCACTGATTATGATAATAAAGTCATGTCTTTTCCTAAAAAAGGCCGAAATTTCTAATAACATTTGCTGAAATTGTTACTAAATATGAGTCGAACAGCCAAAATGAAGATAAATAAAACCTGCAAAAGATATTATTAAAATAGGTTCAACATTTAAAAAAAGTCTAAATAAACCAGAAATAAAAAGTTCTAATATATCATTGCATCATGTTTCATTTAAAAACGTTTTTCATTTCTTTTTTTTTAAATTAAATTATTACAAAGAAATTCATGTTTATTTACATGCAGATTAAAATATTCAGCTCTGAGCATATCAGGAGGAATAAAACTCAATTTACTTTCTTTCTTTCTTCCGTTGCGGAGAAAATGTTTCATGAAAAAAAATCGTTACTGTGATATTATGCATGAGTTCCGGCGGCGCGTGTGCAAAATTCGTGCAATAAAAACACCATTATTGAGAGTGATGAGCGCAAAACTGACAACTCCGTGTATCATTTCGCAGCCGTAAATCTTGATTATTGCTTGTGATCTTGGCTCATGAACTTTTTCTCTCGC